GGGGGACATTTGTTTGTGTGTGTGTGCGCGCCTGTGTGTGACAGAGAGGAGGGAATGGAGAGAAATACCTGGTGGCGGTGGCGCTGGCCACGCTGTGGCAGTGGCGTGCGCGTGTGAGAGAGAGAGAGAGAATTGTCGAAGGGAAGACATTGAGTTGCGGACGGGTAATGGTATGCTAATTAAATTTGGGTGGCTCTATTTACGCCCCACAAATTTTCATTTTTATCCTATTTAAATTTTTATTCTCAAAATATTAAACTCAATCTTTTTATAATCAACTCATTAATAACTAAATTTATCTCTTATTATATACACCTTTTCTAATAAGTAAACTTATTTTATATTTTGTCATAATTAAAATTTAATTATATATCTCATCTTAAATACTCTTAAAAATATTTTTTTAATATAAATTTTTTCAATGAGATACATGTTAGTATTATTTTTTAATTTAATTTTATATTTGATTTTATGTTTGTTGTATAAATTTTCATTATTTTTTGTAATATTTTGATATTTTTGTCAAATTTAATAATTTTTTATTTAAAATTTATATGTGTGTATATATATGTATGTTTTTCATATAATTTTCTTTTTATTTTGTTAAAGTTTTACATATATGCTTATTAATTTTTTTTTTGTTCGATTTTTATGTCTGTGTATGATGCTTATTTCTTTTTCATATTTGATTTTGTGTCTTGTAATTTTACTTCTTCCTTCAATATTTACTTGATTTTTTTTCCTTTTTGTGTCGATTTATTTCTTTCTAACTGCTTTTTCTTGTTTTGTTTTTTTCTTCTTTCTTATTTCGGTCTACTTTTTTCTTTTCCTTTTTTTTTCCTTGTTTTGTTCTTTTCTTTTTTCTTGTTTGAGCATGCTTATTTTTTTTACTTGTTTAATTTTTTGTTATTTTTTCTTTCTTGTTTCTTTTTTTTTTTTCATAAATATATTTGACGATGCACAAAATAACTTTGCACACCACCTGTCAAGTGATTGAAAATAAATGTAGTAATTTAAAGTAAAGAGAGTTTGAGAAGACGAGATTTATAGTAGTTCGGTCAACGTGACCTACGTTCACTTTTGAATGGTCTTGGTCGCCCGGTACTTTATTAGCTTATGGGTGCAGGGAGCAGAGAGTACAAACTTAGAGAGAGAGAAGAGAGAGTCGTGCTTAACAGAGTGAGATCTTCCCCCCCAAAGTGTTGGTGGGACTTACAATTTATAGTCGCCCTCCTGACAGATTTGGGCAAGATATTAATAAGTAGTTGACTAGTTTGTTGAATCTGGCGAGCTCTTCTCAACGTGCTAGGCAGTTGCGGTGCTCTTCATGAGATTCGGTCAAAGAATGAGGTAGGGTGTTGACCATTTCCAGGGCAGCGAGGATAAGGCTTTGGATGGCCTTGCTTGCTCCCTTAGTTGCTGAGCTTGATCGGGCTGACCACACTGATGAGCTTGACCGAGTTGGCCACACTGGATTGGATTCGCTGAATCTCTTGGAGTCGAACTATAAATTTGAATTGAGCTTATAACATGAGTTGGGCCTTTGAGCTTGGCCCATCATTTGCACCCTAATTCCTTGTGTCCAATGGAACTTGGAAAGGAGGGCATTTGATTAAGTTTGAATTTTCGACTGACTGGCACAATCAAAAAAACTTTAAGAGACCAAAACATTTGCTTCCAAGTCTTTTTTGGACTTTTTACATAATCAATCATAGCCTTTGGCTATGTGTCTTGTAAGGCTCACCGAGAGCTTCGATTTGATATATTATAAGCCTTATTTGGAGTAACGGAGTAAAAGTTATGGCCAATTTCGAGCAGAGAACGAGGCGAGCAGTTTGGGCAAGCAGTTTGGGCGAGCAGACAGCTTCAGGCGAGTTGGGCACTGTTCTGGGTGAGCAGATTTTTTTTTTTTTTCTCAAATTTCGGGAGGCCAAAACATTTGTTTCTGAGCATTTTTTGGACTGTTTACACCATCAATCACAGCCAAAAGGCTTTATGTTTTTTAGGGCTCGCCGAGAGCTTCAATTTGACATATAATAAGCCCCTATTTGGAGTTACGTAGTAAAATATATGGTCAAAATTTTGAGCAGGCAGCTAGGCGCACGTTTTGGACGAGCAGGCAGTGTTCTAGGTGAGCCTGGGGCTGCCTTGGGCGACCTGGGGAAGCCTTGGGCTCTTTGGGCAAGCCTGGGGTGCCTTGGACGAGATGGGCAGTAGCCTAGGCGCCAATCTGGGATGCTTAGGCGCTGATAATGCTGTCCTGGACAGCTTGGGCGCAATGGGCAATGACCTGGGCGCCAATCTGGGCTGTCTGGGCGCTGATAATGCAGTCCTGGACAGTTTGGACGTGATGGGTAGCAGCCTGGGCGCTGATAATGTTGTCCTGGACATCTTGGATGCGATGAGCAGCGGCCTGGGTGCCAATCTAGGCTGCCAGGGCGCTGATAATGTTGTCCTGGATAGCTCAAGCGCGCTGGACAACAGCTTTTCTTCAGTTGGAGGTGCAAAAAATCGTGCCAGAGAGCAGCGTAGAAAGCTGGGCAGTAGCCGGGACCCCAACGGGGCTGTCTGGGTGCCGAAGACGCTGTAGGCATTGATCTAGGCGCCACTTCAAGTGCTGATCTATGCAACTTTAGAGGGCCAAGCAGCGCTGGGCTGCCCCCCGTTTGGACGAGCATAGAGCGTCAGACACCTCTCTAGGTGCTGGGCTACCTCGTTTGGGCGAGCAAAGAGCGTTAGGCATCTCTCCAAGTGTAGGTTGCCTCGCTTGGACATGTAGAGAGCGTCAGGAATGCTCTAGGTGTTGGACTGCCTTATTTAAGTGAGCACATAAGATCAGACACCTCTCCAGGTGTTGGGCTACCTCGTTTGGGCGTCGTGGGTGAGCTTAGGGCTGTCTCGAGCGCTTTGGGGGGATGCCTTAGGGGCTTTGGACGAGCTTGAGGCTGTCTTAGGAGAGTCTACTTGTGATGACAGAAACAATGTTATTCCAAACATTAAAATATCTCACATAATTACCTGGAGAAAAAGAGAGAGTTAGGTTGCTTGCGCGAGAGTAAAGACAGAGTTGAAAAACTGCTTGTGAGAGAGCTACATCTTTTGAGACCTAACTTTTGATGACCCATGAGAGAGTCTTTAAGCTTAAGGTATAAGATACCTGTTTGAGAACAGTGCAGAAACCAAGCTTTTTTGGCGCCCGCGAGAGAGCCGCTAAGTTGGAGATAGGCTACCTGTGTTGAGAACAGTGTGGAAGCCAAGCTGTTTTAGTTACCCGTGAGAGAACCGCTAAGCTGGAGATAAGTTATCTGACAGTGCAGAGGTCAAGCTTTTTTGGTGACCCGTGAGAGAGTCGCAAAGCTGGAGATAAGCTGCATGTTTGATAATAGTGCAGATGCCAAGCTTTTTAGACGACCCGCGAGAGAGCCGCTAAGCTGGAGATAAGCTGTCTGTTTGAGAACAGTGCAGAGGCAGGTCAAGCTTCTAGTGATCTGTGAGATGATTCACCTTGCCTAGACCTGTTGATTTTCTCAGCATTCATATATTTTTGAGCATTTGCCAATATTTCGGGCATGTTCTTTGGTGATCACTTCATTACTGAAAAAAAGAATTTGGATGAGGGGAGGCCTCCCAAAGGCAATCATGATGACTTTGTCATTGGGCTCCTCGATTTAGAGGACCTCCTTGTTAAAACGAGTGACGTAACTCCTCAGACTCTCGTCTCGATCCTGTTTTATATTGAGCAGATGGGTGGTAGGCTTTTGTTGGTGACGTCCACCAATGAACTATGCCACAAATGATTTACTCAGTTTGGCGAAGCAGCCTATGGAGGCCGGGGTGAGTTTGGTGAACCATTGTCGCGTTGATTCCTTCAAAGTAGTTGAGAATTTCCTACACATAATTTCGTCGGGGACGTTGTGCAGTTGCATTAGGGTCTTTTATACGTTTTGAGGTGATCAAGTGGATCATTCATTCCGTCAAAGGTCTCCACGGATGGTATTTTGAACTTTTGAGGGAGGAGGTAGTTCGCCACATCAGGTTTGAAAGGTGTGTCTGTCCGCCTTACGAGGTAGCCCACTGTCTCAGGGTCCTGCGCCTTTATGGGGTTGAAGACGTCACCCAGTTGATTTTTCACTTCATTAATTTTATTGTCCCAGTGATTGGGGACTCCTCTAGAATGATCATGGAAATGACTCCCATGTTTCATGCTTTGGTTTTCGTCATCATCTTCTTGGAGATGAAGGTCTTCACCATGGGAAGTAAGCGGAGTTAGAGGAGGAGCTGGAGGTCTCTCATGATAGGTTCCCCTGTGTGGGGCACCCAAAGGGACTCCAAAGGGGGCGCCCAGACCTGCATGGGAGCCTAAATGGGGAGTAACAAGTTGTGGAGCTCCTTGATGTCCAAGGCTTGGAGTTCCTTAAGGTCTTCCAAGCTGTGCTCCTCCTTGTTCAGCGAGCATGAGTTACAGGATCTATTGGTTTTAAGCCACCAGCTGCTGCATAGTCTCCAATATTTGTTGAGGATTTGGAACTGGAGCATTTGAGAGAGGGTTGGTAGGTGGAGGAGCAACCTCTTCCTCTTATTATGGATTATCCTCAGGTTGATTCATGGATCTAGTTGTGATCATCATACGTTCAACAGAAGGAGTGTTTAAAAGTGAGAATTTAGTCGTTCTCACAGACGGCGCTAAACTGATGATGCACAAAATGACTTTGCACACCACCTGTCAAGTGATTAAAAATAAATATAGTAATTTAAAGTAAAGAGAGTTTGAGGAGACGAGATTTATAGTGGTTCGATTAACGTGACCTACGTTAACTTTTGAATGACCTTGGTCGCCTGGTACTTTGTTAGCTCATGGGTGCAGGGAGCAGAGAGTACAAATTTAGAGAAAGAGGAGAGAGTCGTGCCCAACAGAGTGAGATCTGCCCCCCAAGTGTTGGTGGGGCTTACCATTTATAGTCGCCCTCCTAACAGATTTGGGCAAGTTATTAGTAAATAGTTGGATAGTTTGTTGGATCTGGCGAACTCTTCTCAACGTGCTAGACAGTTGTTGTGCTCTCCATACGATTTGGTCAAAGGATGAGGTGGGGTGTTGACCATCTCTAGGGCAGTGAGGATAAGGCTTTGGGTGACCTTGCTTGCTCCCTTAGCTCCTTGAGCTGCTGAACTTGACTGGGCTGACCACACTGATGAGCTTGACCAGATTGGCCACACTGGGCTGGATTCGTTGGATCTCTTGGAGTTGAACTATAAACTTGAATTAGGCTTATAACATGAGTTGGGTCTTTGGGCTTGGCCCATCAATATTTATACATTCAAATTAATTGTCTTTTTTCATTATTTTTTTCTTACCATGACTTCTTTCATTTAAGATGTGTACATAGAATGAGTTAACTTAACTATTAATGGAGTGTATATAGCATAGGATGAGTTTAGTTACTAATGGAATGAAAATAAAAAAAGTGGGTTTAATAGTTTGATAATTAAAAATTAAATGGTGTGAAAATGAATATTTGTGAGGCAAGAATAGTGCCCACCCATCAAATTTTTTTATCAAATCTCTATCTCAAATGATGCAACACAGTTTTTCACTATTAGATAAGTGAGTCTCATTAATATTCAATAACAAAAATTATACCATTATTTAAGAAGAAAATTTTAATAAAAAATTTTGGTAAACATAACATTACCCTAAGTCCATTGTATCTGATAGAATGGGCGTGTGTGCTTTCGGGATGTAAGCAGTAAATCAAATCAAGATTTTCTCTCTTTTTTTTTGTGTTTTGTTTTGTTTTGTTTTGGTTTGTTTTGAAGAGGATATGAACTGCTCTCAGATTTAAATTTTCTCTATTATTTTTTTTGTATAATTTTACTTAATGATAAAATACTGATCATGTATTGATTTGATATATGAGTCATTTTTAACACCCACTAAATTTTAACAACATTGGTGATCTATGTGGTATTTTTAAAATATATCAAGAGTTGTCGGTGTCATTTAAAATTTATTATAAAATTAAATAACTTTTGTGACAAGCATATACCTTTTTAAGTGCCAATGTAGGGTAGAGTGCATTTTTTTATTTTTTTGGTACATTGGAATAAGAGAGAGTGCATTTGCGTCTGAATTGTCGGAGAAATCTTTAGCACACTGCCTAATTTCATCAACTTATAGGAGGTCTCGACACAGAATGTGGCAACTCCAAATGACAGGTTATAAATGCGTGGTTTTGTTTACTCGGCGGCAGTCCCTCTCGAACTAATAATCTCGGTGCAAAGCATGCGCATCACTGATGAGTCCATCCATTCAAAGTGTTGCACTCCCACCCTCTCATCCCCCAGTCCAGGGCTGGGGGATGACCACCAAACCCCACTCACAGGCATTCCCAGATTTTGCTTTAAAAGGCAGCATCCAAAATAAAACCACATACCGACAACATATATAACAACCCCTTCACAAAGAGTGCTCATCGATTACAGTTTTCGATAGCTGAATAATCCCCCAATGTCCAATTTGTCCCATGTAATCCATACAAGGGACATTTGAACTTTCACCAACTCAACCATAGAAATGCATCCATTCTTTGAACTCTCAGCTGTTTTGAGGACACACGACCACTTAACAACAAACAGAAACTTCATAATTGTAAGCTTTGGGAGTAAGATCAGCAGTCATACCAAGAACAAGGTATTAGCAAACATATAAATTGTAATAATAATAATCACTGAAGTTTTTCGGCTGGTCCACCACCATAAGTGCAGAGTAGCTACTTTTAAAAAAAAATACAAAGCAAACACTGTCTATATGAATCACAAGCCATAAAAGGCACTTGGGAACCTTTCTGCTGCTTCTTGTATTGTGGGTAGATGAGTCTGCTTTGGAATAATTTATGCTCGCAGGGCACTGCATGCTATAGGGCCTTGGTCTACACGAAAAAATTGCTTGTCAAATTAACGTCTACCCCCTCACGAAAGATGTGGAAAGATTATACATGCTCACAGAACATACAAAGGCCTTCCAGGAGTGAGCACCTGATTATTCTCAGAGACAGTATCATCTAATCTGTCGGCATTACACCATCTAGAGTGTGAGAAGAACATCTGCAAAAATGACTACACAAATATTTGAAAAGTGTTTGATACATGCCTGGAGAGCAACATTATTTATTGTATCAGATGCAGTGCGAAGACGTATTAAAAAAAACTCAGAATCTGTTTCAGAAAAATTTCCAGTGCCAAAAATCTTCACATGCCGGTTCCATTCACAGCGTTTTTGTATCTACAAGAAAATCTCCCAAAATTAACCTATTAACCAATCAACCCATTAAAAGAACTTCCAACAACTTCAATGTGTAGCATAAACAGGCTCGAGTTGATGCAAGCATATTCAGACAAAGGAAAAGATTGGTACTTGGAGATTCCACGTGGTCAATATCTAGACGAGTTAATCGTCACTACTTCCTTTAAGCTCAAGAAAAGACATTAATTGGGTTCATGTATTTGTTTTCTTTACTTTTTTGGTTAATATATCACTACATTAAGATTAATTGTTTAGTCAAATCTATTCCACCAAATATCAAATCAAATTAGGTTTTGAATGTTTGAACAAAAGCAAAATTGTAGAGCAATTTCTTGTGAAATTAAACCAATAGTTCAATTCCGCTAAATAGCATGTCAAAAATTGGTAAACAAACTAAATCCCACCGGAAAAGATTTAATAGCATACCATCGTCAGCTGGGACTCGGGAGAAGCGCAATCTCAATTTNCATAAAAGGCACTTGGGAACCTTTCTGCTGCTTCTTGTATTGTGGGTAGATGAGTCTGCTTTGGAATAATTTATGCTCGCAGGGCACTGCATGCTATAGGGCCTTGGTCTACACGAAAAAATTGCTTGTCAAATTAACGTCTACCCCCTCACGAAAGATGTGGAAAGATTATACATGCTCACAGAACATACAAAGGCCTTCCAGGAGTGAGCACCTGATTATTCTCAGAGACAGTATCATCTAATCTGTCGGCATTACACCATCTAGAGTGTGAGAAGAACATCTGCAAAAATGACTACACAAATATTTGAAAAGTGTTTGATACATGCCTGGAGAGCAACATTATTTATTGTATCAGATGCAGTGCGAAGACGTATTAAAAAAAACTCAGAATCTGTTTCAGAAAAATTTCCAGTGCCAAAAATCTTCACATGCCGGTTCCATTCACAGCGTTTTTGTATCTACAAGAAAATCTCCCAAAATTAACCTATTAACCAATCAACCCATTAAAAGAACTTCCAACAACTTCAATGTGTAGCATAAACAGGCTCGAGTTGATGCAAGCATATTCAGACAAAGGAAAAGATTGGTACTTGGAGATTCCACGTGGTCAATATCTAGACGAGTTAATCGTCACTACTTCCTTTAAGCTCAAGAAAAGACATTAATTGGGTTCATGTATTTGTTTTCTTTACTTTTTTGGTTAATATATCACTACATTAAGATTAATTGTTTAGTCAAATCTATTCCACCAAATATCAAATCAAATTAGGTTTTGAATGTTTGAACAAAAGCAAAATTGTAGAGCAATTTCTTGTGAAATTAAACCAATAGTTCAATTCCGCTAAATAGCATGTCAAAAATTGGTAAACAAACTAAATCCCACCGGAAAAGATTTAATAGCATACCATCGTCAGCTGGGACTCGGGAGAAGCGCAATCTCAATTTCTTGGAGTGTTCTTCCTTTCGTTTCCACCACATTCCGCTTTACGAAAACCACAGCAATCAAGCAAAAGGTGGCAAAGATTGTGTACAGAACTTGAGGCCCAAGTTGCTCCAGCAGACGCAAAAACAGCAAACCTACAAAGAAGTTTATAACCTGTTGATGCCAGCAATGTTCATCAGTGCAGCATCTCAAAAGTTTGAGGAAGAAATCAGAGGCAGAAAGAACAATAGAATACCAATATACTAACAATTATGCCTTGAATGGGTTGTGGATATTCATACTACAGGTTCTGCTTTTAGGAGGTCAACATCCATATAATTTCTTCAAAATATCCACAACCCATTGAATAAACCGTGGTCAAGTTGGACCACCAAGTTCAAAAATTTGTTCATTGGACCATGATCATCAAGAATTCAAAATTGTAGTGAAATTTGGAGAGGTACAGGATTTTATGTTAATTTTTAAAACTCACTCCCACAGAATAAGGAATGAAAAAGGAACAATATTCCACTCAAGCCACATAGGAAAAACTGGAGAATGCAATTACCCAATGCACAGCCATGCAGACTGCCATTGCCTTTGCCCTTATCCGGCCAGGGAATATTTCTGACAGGAGGAGACCAGGAACTGGCCCAGCACCCATAGAAAATGTGAAGACAAACCTGCATATAAACTTTGTAATTAGTGAAAACATATCATAAATTCAGATTAGATTCTCTACCTTATGCCATGTTTCCAAATTATGCTTTTGTTTCTCCAATTAGATACCCTATTTCACTTATGTAGATACTTCATATCCATAAAACATTTGAGCTTTGACGATATGATATTCAACTAGGCTCCAATGAGAGTTTACTTGCCCTGATGTAAATCCACAACAGCAACTAAGTATGTACCATTATTTAATTTCTTTTGGGTTGATTAGGATTGACGGTTGGGGGAGAAACCTTCAAACTCATGGTTATAGCGAATTTTTAGGTTTTTAGTTAGAAAGTGACTGAAGCAGCCATGTGTAATCATCACCAGTCAGCTGGTTATCATATACTATTGTAGTTGCTGAGTCATCCAGAACTTACAGCAGCATGCCACCAACTGAGAGGTACAATATTCCAGAGCCTGGTAAAAAGGCACTTGCCGCCATTACTTGGAAACCCATTGACACCGCCTGCAGCAGTCAAATTCATAAAGTTCTTTTATTGCCATTAATGTAATTCAAAAGTTCTAAATGTATTACTGGTAGCAGAAAGATTTTTCGGGAGGGAAAAATGCATGACTGGCCATGTAAGATGATTCCATTCAACCTATTAAAAGTTGAACAAATGAAACATNAATTTCTTCAAAATATCCACAACCCATTGAATAAACCGTGGTCAAGTTGGACCACCAAGTTCAAAAATTTGTTCATTGGACCATGATCATCAAGAATTCAAAATTGTAGTGAAATTTGGAGAGGTACAGGATTTTATGTTAATTTTTAAAACTCACTCCCACAGAATAAGGAATGAAAAAGGAACAATATTCCACTCAAGCCACATAGGAAAAACTGGAGAATGCAATTACCCAATGCACAGCCATGCAGACTGCCATTGCCTTTGCCCTTATCCGGCCAGGGAATATTTCTGACAGGAGGAGACCAGGAACTGGCCCAGCACCCATAGAAAATGTGAAGACAAACCTGCATATAAACTTTGTAATTAGTGAAAACATATCATAAATTCAGATTAGATTCTCTACCTTATGCCATGTTTCCAAATTATGCTTTTGTTTCTCCAATTAGATACCCTATTTCACTTATGTAGATACTTCATATCCATAAAACATTTGAGCTTTGACGATATGATATTCAACTAGGCTCCAATGAGAGTTTACTTGCCCTGATGTAAATCCACAACAGCAACTAAGTATGTACCATTATTTAATTTCTTTTGGGTTGATTAGGATTGACGGTTGGGGGAGAAACCTTCAAACTCATGGTTATAGCGAATTTTTAGGTTTTTAGTTAGAAAGTGACTGAAGCAGCCATGTGTAATCATCACCAGTCAGCTGGTTATCATATACTATTGTAGTTGCTGAGTCATCCAGAACTTACAGCAGCATGCCACCAACTGAGAGGTACAATATTCCAGAGCCTGGTAAAAAGGCACTTGCCGCCATTACTTGGAAACCCATTGACACCGCCTGCAGCAGTCAAATTCATAAAGTTCTTTTATTGCCATTAATGTAATTCAAAAGTTCTAAATGTATTACTGGTAGCAGAAAGATTTTTCGGGAGGGAAAAATGCATGACTGGCCATGTAAGATGATTCCATTCAACCTATTAAAAGTTGAACAAATGAAACATGGGGAGTCTAATCTACATGCTTGTGCAACCTCGTTGCACAACATGCTGTTATCATGTTATGTCAAATCAGTTATGGATATAACATAGTGCTATCAATTGCCAGTGAAGGATAAGGTTTTGAATGGAGAATATTATACTTACCATGCCCACAAAACTCCAAATGAGAAGCACCTTCCTTCCCAGTCTATCCATCAAAGTCATTGCAATAATTGACCCTGAATAAGGCATGCATATTGGTGTAAGATATGCTTAGCAAGAGTTTCCAGATGTGCAAGATAATTAGTAATAATCATTTACCTGATAAGTTTATAATTCCTACGCATATATTTCCTAGGTCTGAAGGTACTCCGGCACTTTTAAAAACAGTCGAAGAGAAATAAAACACAGCATTTATACCAGAAAGTTGTTGCAAAGCAAATAAGGTAGACCCAATGAAAACCACTGCAAAACAGATAAATGATAAATTACTCACTTAATAATAAAAAAATAGACACAGTTAGATGGAAATACGGATTGGTAACATATATACCTCTAAAGTGGCGACCATAAAGTAATTCTGAAAACTTCACGTTATCCACCTCATCTCCCCTGTCTGACTTTGGCAATTCAGCCATCGCAGACTTGACATGGAGTACTCCTAAAAGCTTCTCAAATTCAGCTTCAGTTTCAGCAGTTTTTCCTTTCTGAGCCAATGAAATAATACAAGGCCTTAATCAGTTAGAAACTAATGATGCACGCGTGGTTGGAGACAGCTAAACAAGAGACATGAACAGTAACCAAGCGAAGGTCAAAGATAAGAATGAAAAAAGGGAGAAACCACGGAAGCCATGACATTACTGGATAACTAAGCATCTGATAACACCAAAAATCACAATAATATGAAGGGGTTCATATACAAGCAGATTAGAGGAATCAAGTACTACAGATACAAGTCAGGAAGAGCAATTGTGTAGTATGATCGTAAATTGCATCCCTCATTCTTATTGCAGTTAGCTAATATTGCATAAATTCATTGAACCATATGCTCCGTCTACAAAAAACAATATGGAAGCACAAAAGACATAATATTCGCATTAAGGCACTCTAGTGCACACATGATAGTGCACAATGTAAATGTTTCACCAATTGGCTTTTGACAGCCATTGAAAGGACCAATTCTTATCTGACTCCTCAACACAACTTAAAAGTAATCAATGGTTCAAAGCCCGTTAGGGAATGAGGCTCAATCATTCATTAAATCAAACACAACTCTACCCAGATGAAGAACAGATCAGAAAATTGATACTTGTATCCACAATGTTTGTGTGTCATGTATGTTTCTATTACAATGAAATGTAACTCCTTGGGGTACTTACTGATGCCAAAACCAATAAAGTAAATAGGTTATATACATACAAGTTACATATGATACCAGTTTACCTTTAAAAGCCAATGAGGACTCTCTGCACAGAACTCCATCAAAAGAGCGAGTAGTGCAGCGGGAACGGCAGATACCCAAAAGCAAACTCGCCACCTGATCACATCATACAAGGGAAACCAAAGAAGTCAATTACTCGAACACCCACTCAATAAGTTGCTTGTTTAGAGAAGGTCCAATCTTATTAGAACATATAGAACTTATCATCCAAAAAATAATAAATAACATGGATCCTGGTAATGTTCCTCACCAACCAACAACATCCTTGGCCGGGATTCCAATGAGTAGAGCCCCCATAAGTCCAAGACATGTTGCAATTTGGGTGAAGCTTCCAAAAGTACCTCTTACGAAAGCTGGTGAAACCTGCTTATGAAGATGAATCATAATCAGAAAATTGGGGGCATTCTAACACCAACAACATGACTTGCCAGTGTCAACTAATGATGAAAATGAAAGCACTAGAAACAATCATATCTTATACCTCCGCCACATAGAGAGCGGCAACAGGAGGACCAAGACCCATCCCAGTTCCAACAATTAACCTTCCAAGAAGCATACCCACCAGAGTATTTGCTGTGGCACTGCAATTTCATGTTTGAAGACCCTCTGATGAGCTCAATACAACAAATAACCATTGAAGGCAAAGGCAAAAGGACCATGAACATGTACATTAGGAATTTAGTGTTTGCACACAGCATTATACCCACTTCTCCCTTTATCCCTTGAGCACACAGCATAGCGTGTAAAAATATAAATTTAAGTCTTGTAGAATAACTTAGAACATGTGTATTCCTCAAGAAAAAACAACAATAAGGTTCTACTTTCTACAATAACTGCTTTACGGGTTGTCAAGGACAAATCAGAGGCCAACATCACCATGTTATATTTCTACCCTATCAGAAAAATTTTGTAGCTTCAGTGAGCAGAATCTCTTGATTGAACATATAGAGATCTGCAGAGGGTCAAATTGCAGTCAATGTCATCCCCTATTCTGCTCCATCAGGTTTTCCGTGAAACAACATATCTACTACATTTATTTGCATTGTTATATTAACTATATCCTCATTTGATTTTCCAAAAAAAAACTATATCCTCATTTGATCACCATTTCTTTCTTTACTGTGGTTTAGCTTTCTCCAATTTATCAACAGAGATCAGTCATCACATTCTCCTTGAAAAATCTAAAAAATCTGCTGCCTCTGTTTTTGCACTACCTATGAGGCAGGCATACCGGTGGATTAGACATCCCATCTCAGCTAGAAGAAACCGGTAGCCTGTTGAAAGGAGAGATATAAGAGATAGGCTGTCCTCCCCGCTTCATTCTCTCTGTCGGCATCCAGTATGAACCAATATTTTGAGTCTGAAGTGTGTATAACCCAGTAATGAGCTATGTCGCACATCTGTCCACACACAAATAGTGCATATACAAGATATGACAATCTGACAAGCATAATCGGAAGACTATCCAATCAAAGAAAAATAACGTGAGAGGACACCTCTCTCCCACTGGCAGATCTTCTGACAAATCAGTTATGTATCCCCTTCTGTTTTTCTTGTCGACATGGCGAAATCATCTACTATATCATTCATATATTCTCTTCCACTAGTCTAACATGGGTAACAGATTGTCCTAGAAATGTCAGTCAAGTGTACAAAATAATTGCAGTTTTTTCAAATTACAGAGTCTCCAAGAAGTTGATATGTAGAGGATACCAAATTTCAACCATATGATATGATGGTGAGAATCAGGTGGAGAGGTAGAAAAAAACTGGAATTTGCAACTAATATCTCAAAGGTAATGCCTCTGACAAAGGTCATAGTTTAAGCAGTAAAAGAGAATAGATGCTCCCATTTCTGGTTTTAAAGAAAAAAATATAAAACTTCTTTAAGATCCGTGGTCTATTTTACTACCCAATCAAGATCTAGCAAACATTACACCTTAGTAGAAAATTTTATTAGGTGTTTGACAATTGGATAGATAGAAATAAAACGTGCATTCACCTCATTGACGCACCAATTATCATTGGTAAAGCACACAATTGGAATGCCCTTCGGCGACCAACTCCATCTGCAATCCAACCACTGAATACAGATCCAACAAAGGCACCTGCTAAACATGTACTCACCACCAGACCTTCATTTGAAAACAAATGCCTCGTTGAGTGAAGATTAAAATGAGACTAGACAAACACATAATAAAGTTGAAAGCTCCAATGCTCAGAGTACCTTCAGCCAGCGTACTACCACTAAAGCCAAGATCCAATGAAATGCTTTCTAGTGTGTCATTAACCACACTGAGTTTAAAAAAAATAAACAAATAAATATGCATATAGTATTAGATCTCACTTCTTATCAACCTCAAAACAAGGAGAATAGAAGACATGAATTTAAGATTTGGAACGCACCCAAGGTGGTAGCCAAATAAAAATGAAGAAATAGTAGCCACCAGAACATGCGGCAGAGAGCGCTTCCACGAGGGGTTTCCAAATTCTTTTCCAATACCATTCTGCAAACGACCTGAAATCCATACAAAAGCATAGCTCAGGCTACATTAATAAAAATGTAACCGAGTGCATTAATGGGTTTGTGTGTTGATAAATCTTTATTATTGTTGAACTTTTTCTTCACTTTGTTGCCTTACTTTGTTTTATTATTATTTTATCCCTCCATCAACACCTTGGTTATTGGAAAGTACAAATCTTGCCTATGCACATATCTTACTTAATAGAGTTAATATATACTTTTATATTCTAATCTAATCACAGGTGTTAATGGTAAGACGCGTTTCCCATAAACTTGCCACCAGTAATACAAGAATAATCAAGCTATGAAAGATAAAATAAACACCAACACCTTAAAGTACGAACCAAAAAACCTAGATCTTGCAATGAAAACAAAGCTATTTGAAAGTAACTAACCTTCTTCTCTGTCGTAGGCATTGAGATGGTCCCTCGACGCACGCTTGTACGCCGACCACATATCACGTTGGCGACCTCGCATATATAGTATATATCCACACCCAAAATTTGACGGCAGAATCTGTAATTATCACAGCCACAACAGATCAGCCGATGTTCAATCAATCATCATTTTATAGATAATGCACATGTCATTGCGTCTATTGATCATCGCTATACAACAGCAAAATTGTATAATTGTCCCATCGGCATTTGAACAACTAATCCTAAAGAAATGTAAACGACATTGTTCCACCGATTTGTGTGGAATATTTCGGATCTGATAAAGGACAAAGTCCAAATTTGAAACTGAAGAATCACGGCTAATCATCACCATGAGTATTTCATTAGAAGAAAGTTACCTTGAAAAGGCAAAAATTCAAAACTTGAGACAACGCTTTGGCTTCAGAGATCTGATCAAATGTACAGAGAGAGAGAGAGAGAGAGTTACGAAAACTAGTCGTAACAAGAAGATTCAAGACGATACATTTCGCCAGGATGAGAGCGATCGAGAAATAAAAAATTCGTAAGTACTCACTTCCGATGATATGTGGAAGTGTACTGTGTACATTTATTGGCACCTACACATCTACGTTTTTCTCTGTGTGTGTGTGCGTGGGTGAGAGAGAGAGAGAGAGAAATCTGAAGCTTATTACCTTGTCGAAGCTGAAATGCACAGAGCCTGTGGAGATAAGCTAACATGCGCCGCGGGGGTGTGAAAATGAGGTGGGAGTCACTGTTGAGTTAGACCGAAGAAAAGGAGATGTCGACGCGAAAATCTCGGAACCGTTTCGTCGAATGGGAATGGAAATGGAAATGGAAAGAGATAGAGAGGGAGAGGTGCTAACGTGCACCTGAGGGGGTTTGGTTTTCGGTCCGTGTATTACTCATTACTATTTCGCATCTGCATTGAATCGCTTGGGGGTGTGTGTTGTTTAAGGAAGAAGCAAAGGGAACGACGATGGCGACGAAGCATCTAATCTCTATGAGAGAGAGAGCTCGCAGTCAGCCACAGGAGAACAGGAGGCGATGATGACGGAGATCATATTCCAGTAGTACGAGACACGTCAACATCTTTCCAAATATTTATCGATGAAAAAAGTGCAAAGAGAAGGACACGTACCCAAAAAAAAAAAAACACTAAAAAATTGAGTGGTACATAGGATCCACCAAAAGATCGGTTGACACGTGTAACACAGGGACCACGTTTTAATGTCTGAGTAATTTTATGGCCTCACGTCCACTATCACTTTAATTAAAATCTATACACTTTTTACTGATTTACCATTAAAACATTAAAATTAATCGCTGCACCCACCACGGCATGGCTTAAATTTACAAAACATTTAGATAAACTTCATTTTAACCCTACAAATAATTGACTATAAAACTGATTAATTAATTAATTAATTAAACAAGACAATTTTTATTTAATTATGATACCTATCTATCTACACCCAACAATGTCATATCCCTCAAAATTTTAAATATTTAATAGATCCCCCAAATAACTATACTATAATTATTAATGTACTACATTAATTGGGGTTCAAAATTCTGGTGAAGACTGATATTTCTCCTCTTCCTTTTCTTTTTCTTTTTTTTTTTCTCTCCCCCCAAATCTCATAATCATGAAAAAAACTTCACAAATATGAGGGTTTTTTTTTTGCTATTTATTTCAAATGTAATGGTATAATACAAAATACTATAATCAAACTTAATCAATATCTTACCCTACACGCAAACTGATTTAAACATCCATGATCATTGAACCAGCAAAAAAAACAAAAGAGCCACCTCCAATTGAAGTAAATCAAAAAATGAACATTTTCGTATGCCCCTTGGGCCACCTTTAACATACACTTCTTTTTTTTAAGGGCACAATGATCCATTCATATGGCCAAAACAAGAGCTTCCTCTTTTAAGCATTGATCCGGCCTTTTCCCTTGACAACAAAAATATAATAATGGTAAGAAAAAAAAGTTGCAATATTCTCAGCAGAAAGAATATTGTGCTAATCTTATTGAATTAGAAGACCAACCAGAAAAGTTTTCCCAAAGGATCAAAAGCAAACAGCCACAGTGAAAATCATACACTATACGACAATACACCATGAATTACAATTATATGGAAAATCTTCCAAGGCATTGTGTTCTTTACATCTCGGAGTCACAAAAAACACTTGGTGGATTGAGACGAGCATAACCAACTGGATATTATACCACCACATATACTGTAAACTGTACCATAGGTATACAAGGCTGGAATAGCCCATAATAAGTAGTCGATTTATTAGGCAGCACCCATAAAAGATGAACTCAGTCCCTGGATCTGCAGACGTATATAGGCAAACGTGAATAAATAATATTAAGCAAAAATGCCCAACTACATAACCAGTTGAGAACAGAGAATACCTTATTTACAAGCAGGTTTACTTGTTCTCTATACATCTCCTTCAAGTCTACAATATCCGCACGAAGCTCTTCCAGCTACAACATCCACTTAAGCACATCAGGACTTAATTTTTTTCCTTGAAATAAAAAATTCTTTTACATGGCTACTGAAGCGGAAAAAGGTATTCAATATATATGAATCTAAAAACAAATTATGATGTCTACTTATGGGGGTTTTGGGGTATTATCTATTTATTTTATTTGAGGAATTGCTAATTAACATTCCAGGTTTGGGTGGTGGCCATCAAATCTGAAGTTCCCTTTCAAACTTCCTTACAATCTACAAAAGCACAGTTCGCGTTCCTTTTCCTATACTTAGGCAAGGATAACACAGATAGATGTCTCCCCATCCCCCTTGACCACATACACAACCGTGCAACAAAATCTGACCCCTTCTGTGACCATTTCTTGGATGATAAGAAACCAAAGATGGTTTAGAACAGATTACCAGAGGTAAACAATCATTGCGGAGTCCATCCCAAAATCAATACTAAGGGAAGAGGCAAACAAGAGGATATAACAAATTTCATCGGTGACAGGAAAGGGAGCCTGCCTAGGGTTTTCAATTCAAAAAATAAAAAATAAGAAAAACATTACATTCCTCTTAAACTAGGCATCAGAATCCAAGCATACAACTGTTTATTTTAGCACCTAACATTTAGGCATCATCTCTGTCATTCCATTGATTGACAACCTTTATAATCTCCATGAAAAGAACAATGACTAAAAACCTTTAGGGCGAGATATCATTATGAATTCTGTCTCCAATTATCTGTTCTCCTGCTTGTTATAGTTTCCATCATGCCTTCACCATTCTCAACAATCATCTACCACCAAATTAGCCTCATGGAGAGCCATATAAAAAACAAAAGGATCCATCCTGCAACATTATGCTATGAACCAATTTTCCCATCTACCACTAGCTCCACCCAAACTATCATAACATTCACTACAACAGCATTAGTTAAATGGGGGAATCAACTAGGATACGTAGCACAAACAGAGACCCAGGCCAAGACACAGCTCATAACTCAACACAACGTCTAGCCGAATGCCACCCAAAAAAAAAACGGATGCGTTATGGTTCAATTTGAAACTTCTGTAAAACCACGTTTGGCATCATCTTGGCATGAACTCTTATCATCTTTTACTTGGCATAACATAACGACATGAATTGAGGAAGAAAACAATCCCATAGCTAAAGCTGGAGTTATCACAGAAGTTTAAAACCAGGTTTGGCATCTTGGCATGAACTCTTATCATTTTTTACTTGACATAACATAACAACAAATTGAGGAAGAAAACAATCCCAAAGCTAAAGCTGGAGTTATCATCACAAAAACTATTTGACTGCATCAAGGAAGATGTAAAAATCAAAGTCGAATATGGGTCAAAAAGAACAGGTGAAAAAATTAAGTTAAAAGAACACATCTAAGTACAATAGGGTTTATGTTTAAAAACAAAAACAACATAGGGCTCATTTGCATTGTTTCCAAAATCTACAGTGCCATTAGGTTGCTATCTACTCTGACTCTGTTCCAAGTTAGGAAATCGAGATCCAAAATGCCTACAGGAGACTCAGGGGCCATCTATTTGTGTATGACAATAATGTTATCCCCTCTGTTTGCACCTTCTTTTTCAGTTTTAAGAGCCTTTTTTGCAAGAAATAGGCAGGTTGACCATAATTGATTGATCAAATATGATGAAACACCTTGTTCACATAGCACACCAAATTCTTTTGCAATTATGACTAACTGAACTCAACTGCAAACATTTTTGTACCTCTTCATCGCGTTCACCCATCAACTCCAGCGCTGCCGAGTGCCTACGTCTTAGGGCTTCTAGTTCTGCCCGTATACCAGGCAGCAAGGTAGCTTCTGTCCGTAACCTCTCACACTGCACCCAAGGCAATAAATATCAGGGAAGTTATATGACATATGCATATCGGGATATATAGACAGAAAAAAACCTGTGCAGTCATTTTAACCAACTCCTCAGCAAGAGAGTCACGAATAGATTCCATAGATGCCTGGAGTGCAAAAAAACCATTTAGAGTTAACTCAAACAAAGATAATCAATGTAGTGAAAAGATTTCGTCTTTCTCACTGTATGTAACTAAAGCCAGCATTGCAGACACCTGGCACTATGAAAACTAGCCGTAAATATATGTAGCACCAATAAATAGTTAAATGGAACTTATGTCTGGATATACCAATCGAGACATATAAGATGCAAGTTCCCCCTCCTTTTGACGAAGGGCAGCTTCAAAAGCACTTGGTGTCATGCTCTTCATATAATATGGACTCATTGTTGCCTCTCCAGGATTCCTTCGTCCAGAGAAACTGTCAGATGAGTCTAACGATGCTTGCAGAAAATCACTTTCTTCCATACTGCTTAAGCTGCTAGCACTTGAAAGTTTGCGGGTCAAGTATCCTGTAAAATGGTCATTACACAAAGGAACAGAATAGGAAGAGCACACCCACTATAAGTAGTAAATGGAGCCATCAATACCATTCTCAAAAGCAGACTTTTTTGTTCTTGGACTTTGATCAGAAACGGCAGAAGATTGAAGGCGAGCTGTCCTTTCTAGTTCCAAACGGGCAGCTTTCTCCCTTTCTACCTCCTGGCAATCATCATGAGCCCAATTAGGAAACTTGTGTATAGCATGATAATTCACATACATAGAAGAGGGTGACCTATTATTAGTCATCTGAAAACCAATTGTCAAACAAAGGCCTGTGTCATTTCTAAGTGGCTATCCAATCCTTAAGTGTTTGACATATTATAAAATTTGACACATGTAAGAAATACTAGTCTAATACCATCCTACGATGAATTCCTCTTCCTTACTATCAAATTAGACAAAACAAGGTCTGGAAAAAGGAACCAAGCAAAGTAGGAGCAGAATCTTCTCAAATTCTTGTTATAACAGTTGACGAGCCTCTTTTTAGCTACCTGTAGGTTCAGCTGAACATATTCTTGTAAATAAAAATTTTACCAATATCGGCAATTCGGCATAGAAAAATGAGAAGTATACAGGGAAGACACAATGACAAATGTTTTCTCACTTTAGCACAATGGCATGGTAGCAGCACCAACAATTGCTGGAACAGTAATGACATTGAATAAATGTATTGAGTAGGGACCATATGGGAAATTGTATTGATATGCATGAAAACACTACCAAAAGGAGACGGATTTATGCATATATCTAGCAGATCATTACAGGCAAACGAACCAGCTATAAAAAAATAAAAAATAAAAACCAATGCAGTTTCCATGTCAAATTATGAACTTCTAATAGCAAGTGCACATGGGGTGCTACTGTACCAGTAGCGAGCGGCAGGAATCAAATCGTTTGATTTGACGGCGGACTTAAAAAGCCACTTACATACGCTTTATGCCCAAACAGGAACACGCTAATTTCTGGTGAATTCCCTATGGGCAACATAAACATATAAATCTTTAAGAACCCAACAATCTTCTACCGAATGACTATATACGGTTGCAAGACCGAAACCCAAAGGAATTGACCGGATATGGATTTTGAGAAATTTATGTGAGGGGACTTTTTTTCGATATATGAAGGGAATTAGTTCCACTGAGTCTAGGCTCGTCTTTCTTCTTCATAACAGCAGAGTACAGTAGAATTCCTCGGTACGATCATTTGGGAAGTCCCTTTCCTACTCCGCATCTGCCCGCATTTCACTGACCTATCACGTGGTAAAAAGAAGAAAGTATGAAAGAATAGTAAACGAGTGGATTCAGTGCTCACCCCAACTCAATTCCTCACTGGCAGCCTCACCTTGGCAAGATGGGAATGACCGCACTAAAAGACATAAGTTTCCAAAAATCAGCTGACTTTTTCCAAGTCTAGTGATTTAGTATTTAGGAAAAATCACAGTATGAATTTATTTACCATAGTTCATGAATCCACAATGCAAAGAAACGCTTGATTCGAGTTATATCGTATAAACAGAGGTAAAATACAGCAAACTCTGACTATTATTTGTAGATTCATCTCCAAGGGAAACCATCCCAAGTATAAAGAAGTTTAAGATAATTTGAAGAGAAGAAAAAAGAAGCCCCAACACATCACAAAGCACAAATGACAAGCTGTTAGGTTTATGATTCAATAGCAGGCAGCTTGCTTACTCCATTTCTACATTGATTTAGTAGTTGACATGCTTTTTGAACCACATCCATATTTCCCTCTCGTTCAAAAAACATATTCAACAAGAGAAAGATCAGAGACTTTCCTCTGTTCTCCTCCTCTCTCTTCTCACACCCGATTTGCATACACACGCACACACAATATCCCTCTCTTTTCTTCTCCCTCCATTCTTCATCAGCCGAAAACCCTCCAACTGACAATCCGTCAAACCCCCCCCCCCTTCTCTCCAGCTAGAAACCCTCGGTAATTTCCTATTTATATTTTGATTGGTTGAAAAATTAGTAAATGCATTGATTGTCTAATTTAAGTCGATGGTGGATTATATATCTTAGTGGTTGATGTGCAGTCACTATGAGTAGATAATTTTATTATGCTAATTGAAGGTCAATGAAGGAGTCATGAATTTTTTGACCCCATTGGAGAAATCCCTGATGCCACGACTGAGAGTCTCATTCTTGTTTTGCTAGTCAAGTATCAAAATATGTGTTTGGTATCTGTAATTTATTAATGCTTTCATGGCTTGACAACATAATTTAGCAATGCCCAAGACTTAATTCAGCATTGGTAGTATTGACACTCTTTCAAGAAACATAGGAACCACAAGTTCTACCTGCCGCAGAAATTCCTGATGGGTCAATGCTTCTTGTAGCTCTTTCTTGTGTTTCCTTCTGAGTTCCTTTATTTCCTCTTCAAGCTGGTTTATATGACCTTCATGAGTGTCAGCTTCTTCCTTCAATGCAAGATACTCCTGCCTATTTTCTGCTGCTCTCTGTCTCTCCTTTTCAAGGGACCTGGTCAGCTGCGTCTGCTCGGCTCGAAGGCATGAAATCTGCAATATTTCACTAGTTTACATTAACTACTATAATAGAGCCCCATCAATAGCACCATTGCAGCCAGAGCAAAGAGAACCTGAGCTTCAAGAACATTTATGCGTGATAATGTTTGAGACAAGCGTTCGTTTACAGATCGCTCTTTTTCCTCTGCACCTGCAGCTTTGGCCTCTGCTTCCTGTAGAAATCAAGAGCATACTGAAAGGTACAAAATAAAAAAAATCAAATGTATAAAGTATAGGCTATTGGTAGAAACCTGAAGCCGTGTATTTAGTGACCTCTCCACAGCAGCCCAAGCTTCAGCCCTTCGGGCAATTGTTTCCTGTTACCATTAGAGAAGTCCTTGGAAGTTTATTGCTCAAGGGTTACAAACTTTTTCTCAAAATTTAAAGCTTAGAGTGGGCGATGGAACTAGGATTTGTTTTAGGGAAGATGTTTGGGTTGGTGGGATTCCTTTATGTGATCTTTTTCCTCTTCTTTATCACATCTCTTCGTTTCATGGTTATAAAATTGTGTCATTAATTCATCATGATGTATCATCCGTGTCTTGGGATTTTAGGTTTCATAGAAGTCTTAATGATAGAGAATGTTTAGAGGTGGTTGAAATCCTTTCTTTGATTAATAGTGTTTTTTCCACTCAAGGCTCTTTGGATCCAAGAGTATGGACTATTGAGTCTTCTGGTATTTTCTCTTGTAAATCCTTTTTTTGAGTCTATAATTGATGATTAATCCCTTTTAGTGTTTCCCCATTCGAGAGAAATTTGGGAATCGAAAGTGCCTTTCAAGGTGCAAATTTGTGCATGGATAATTGCTCATGGTAAGCTTAATACTTATGATGTGCTTCAAAATAGAAGACCAATGATTTGTCTCTCACTGCAATGATGTGTTATGTGCAAAGGTGATGGGGAGAGTATTGATCATCTCTTTCTTCATTGCCCTGTTGCTTTGTCTCTTTGGAACAAGTTGTGTAGTCTTGTTGATTATTGTTGGGTGGCACCGAGAAGTATTCTTTCAATGATATGTTGGGAGGTTTTGAGTGGGGGTGAGAATAGGAAATGGAATACCCTTTGGNGGTCAATGCTTCTTGTAGCTCTTTCTTGTGTTTCCTTCTGAGTTCCTTTATTTCCTCTTCAAGCTGGTTTATATGACCTTCATGAGTGTCAGCTTCTTCCTTCAATGCAAGATACTCCTGCCTATTTTCTGCTGCTCTCTGTCTCTCCTTTTCAAGGGACCTGGTCAGCTGCGTCTGCTCGGCTCGAAGGCATGAAATCTGCAATATTTCACTAGTTTACATTAACTACTATAATAGAGCCCCATCAATAGCACCATTGCAGCCAGAGCAAAGAGAACCTGAGCTTCAAGAACATTTATGCGTGATAATGTTTGAGACAAGCGTTCGTTTACAGATCGCTCTTTTTCCTCTGCACCTGCAGCTTTGGCCTCTGCTTCCTGTAGAAATCAAGAGCATACTGAAAGGTACAAAATAAAAAAAATCAAATGTATAAAGTATAGGCTATTGGTAGAAACCTGAAGCCGTGTATTTAGTGACCTCTCCACAGCAGCCCAAGCTTCAGCCCTTCGGGCAATTGTTTCCTGTTACCATTAGAGAAGTCCTTGGAAGTTTATTGCTCAAGGGTTACAAACTTTTTCTCAAAATTTAAAGCTTAGAGTGGGCGATGGAACTAGGATTTGTTTTAGGGAAGATGTTTGGGTTGGTGGGATTCCTTTATGTGATCTTTTTCCTCTTCTTTATCACATCTCTTCGTTTCATGGTTATAAAATTGTGTCATTAATTCATCATGATGTATCATCCGTGTCTTGGGATTTTAGGTTTCATAGAAGTCTTAATGATAGAGAATGTTTAGAGGTGGTTGAAATCCTTTCTTTGATTAATAGTGTTTTTTCCACTCAAGGCTCTTTGGATCCAAGAGTATGGACTATTGAGTCTTCTGGTATTTTCTCTTGTAAATCCTTTTTTTGAGTCTATAATTGATGATTAATCCCTTTTAGTGTTTCCCCATTCGAGAGAAATTTGGGAATCGAAAGTGCCTTTCAAGGTGCAAATTTGTGCATGGATAATTGCTCATGGTAAGCTTAATACTTATGATGTGCTTCAAAATAGAAGACCAATGATTTGTCTCTCACTGCAATGATGTGTTATGTGCAAAGGTGATGGGGAGAGTATTGATCATCTCTTTCTTCATTGCCCTGTTGCTTTGTCTCTTTGGAACAAGTTGTGTAGTCTTGTTGATTATTGTTGGGTGGCACCGAGAAGTATTCTTTCAATGATATGTTGGGAGGTTTTGAGTGGGGGTGAGAATAGGAAATGGAATACCCTTTGGCGTTGTGCATTTAATGCTATTGTTTAGATGATTTGGTTAGAAAGAAATGCAAGGATATTCGATGATAAGAGTGGAGAGGGTGAAGACCTTTGGGAACGACTTTACTTTTTGGCTTCCTTTTGGGCTTCCGTGTCTAAAAAATTTGAAGATATCCCTCTTTCTTTCATTATTTTGAGCTGGACTGCATCATGGAGAATGTAGTAATTGCCTTTGTTTTTTTTTTTGTTTTTGTTTTTGTTTTTTTTGGTTTCCGTTTGCATATTTTAGGTTGGATGTCTTATCCAACTTTGATATGCCTTTTGTAATTTTGATTTTATTAATGATTTCAATGTTTCTTATCAAAAAAAGAGAAAGGTCTCAAGGCAGAACTTGACACAAAATTAACATCCTAGTTTCCAAAGAAAATATGTAAAATATAGCAATGGACCTGCATAGCTTCAATCTGCCTTAAAAGAGGCCTAGTAGATTCCGGAACCTGTGTTATCAACTCTTCGCATCGGCGCTCACTTGCCTAGAAACCACCACTTGCAGACATCAGGTGGCAGTGAAAGCATAACTAATAACATAGTAAAAGAATAATTAACAAAAACAAACAAAAAATTCTTCTGGTTGATGCCCAATCAGAGGAATCCAAACATACTTGATATCGCTTTTGCAGATCCTCAATGTCTCTGCGCAGCATATCTTCCCTAAAAACTTCCTGCAAAAAGGGAGAAGATATTATAGAATCTGGCATATCTACAGCCAAAAAAACTGCAATCTCAATGTCCCCAAAAAAACCTGCTGCTCCTTTCTGCTCAGAGTTTGCCTTAATTCTTCAAGTGTCTGAACTAGTATAGCTTCACGTTCCTCAGCCTCTCTTAGACGACTCTCTAATTCAGTTCTGGCTTCATTGTTGGCCTGTGCCTCAGCTAATGCTTCAGCTTCCTTTGCTGCATTCAAAGCATTTGTGTAGTATTCTTTTTGAGTAGCAAGTTCAGCTTGGTGTTTCTCTATTGTTTCTTGCAGCAACTTTTCAGTTGCCGCCTTATCCCTCTTTATATTCTCTACTTTATTCTCTTCAACCTGGAAATGGTACAAATTAGATACATGGTATTACAGAACATAAATAAAAAGAAAGCAAAGATGGGGATAGAAAAATAACAATTGGAGAAATCAGTATCTTCTAAATGTTATCAAATCCACATGATCCACAATTGACAGAAAAAAAATTGGGGATAAAGTACTTTACAAAGAAGATACTAAGAATCCAATTACCTGTAGCTTGGTGGTCAATACTTTCTTCTCCTCTTCAAATTCTCTAATCTAGCTTTCACAAAAAGGCACGATTTGTTAAAATCAACGAAGGTGTCTGAGCTATATTATTCACTTTCAATAGGAGACACTGGGTATGCTTGGTTGCATACCTGAGCCCTTAATTTCCTAATCTGAGATTCTTGAGCAGCTTGCTTTCTTGAAAGCTCTTCACCTGTAAACAGTAATTAATATTGATACAAAGATGATCAGCATCAATACAGGACCCCATTACTCATCTAATAAAACTCGAGACTCTGAGTATATATAAGAAGTTGAATTCAGATCTGAGATTCCTCATGAGAGAAACACAATGTGGCAAGTCAAGAATGGATCCAGGGATTTAACCTCAGAGGGGCGGTCTTTAAACTTTTGAAACAATCTGGGGCGAGTTTATCAAGTTCGCACATAGCCATAACCAATAAAACTATTATAAAGAGGATGTTCCAAACCTCACTGGGGAGCGACCACCCCACCTCCCCCCAAAGAGATCCATCATTGTGGTGTTTTTGACACCATACTCCAAATTTGTTTAATGTTAAGACGACAACTGCCTGTCTCTTGGTTATTTAATTTCCTTATTAATTACGGGGTTTAGAATCTAGAGCTGATGGTTACAGTGCTCAACAGAACTTTGTGCTGTGTGGCCCAAAGCCTACGAGAGCAAAGACAAAACATGCATCATGATCACACAGTACACACTCAAGGAGGAATCAACATTTTGTCACTTTTTTTAACAACAAAAAAATCAGAAGCACTTGTATCACTTACTCTTGCAGTTTGATATGATAGAAAGGGGTTCTAAGAGTTGAAGTTGTCAACAACTTGACCACTACATAAATTTTTGAAGTCATAACCCCACGTCCTCCCTGCAGAGTCTTTGGTTCGGCACCAAAGCTCACCCTGCGGTACTGGCCTCTTACTTCTGTTCTTTAAGCGCCATGAACATTGCCAAAGCTGCATATAGTTGCAACTTTTGAGCTTGAGGCTCCGCCTCCATTATATTCTTGAAATGCCAAATCACAACAACACAAACCCTTGCCCCACCCAGTCAACAGCCTAAACAAACAAAATCATCAAGCCCACAGTCTAACCAATCTGCCAACAAGAAAGTGGTTATTATTACTTCCTGAGTGACCTCTGTTGTATAGGAAGCCCTCACATCTGTGAATAACTCAGAGAATCAAGAACCATGCCTCGACCACATCCTATCACCAGAAATCATGTTTTGGACTCACAGAAGACCAAGAACTCTTATACAAACTTGCCAACAAGAGGTATACACGCACCTGCTGCCTCCATAACACATGATGATTCTAGTTGTTCAGCCACTTTGTGCAAATTAAGACAAATGTTAGCTTTGTTCCCGATCTCACCCTCCAAGAACCCCATTAATGGAGACTAAACTGAGTGTTATTTTTCCAATTTGGTGGCCAGTAGAAATTTTTCTTATTGGGTTGATACTATTGAGGCTTACTGAAGCCACAAGTACTCAAATTTAAAGGTGGCACTTACCCCTTGAACAGACACCAAGGTAGAGTGGGGGCCACCTGTTTCACAAACCTATTACGTGCACCTGGCCATTTCACTACTCAGTATAACCATTATGACATAAGCCATGTCAATATTCCAGATTGACCCCATAATCATGTATCTCTACAAGTGTTTTTAACTCAACTTCATCCAACAAAGCCCAAATCTGAACCTCTTTATTGGATGTTTCATTAATTGTTGCACAGCCATAAAAGTATGGCACCGGCCAGCGGCAGTCCTCTCTTCAAGGTCTTTTATCTTTATTGCTTCAAAACTAAAGCCTGACCAATGCAGTCTGCCAATTAGCATATCAAATAAATAAGCATACATCCCTCCAGGTTACATAAACAAGGGAATCTTTTAAGCAAGAAGAATACTTGTATAAATAGACATCGTACATAAAAATTACTATTCAAGAATGCATTAAAAGGATTTCCACACCTTCAGCCATAACTTGATTGATTATTTCATCCTTTTCCTTCAGAAGAGCAGCAGCATCGCTTTTCTTATTCTGTTCTCTACGTAATGTATCCCTTTCCTTAGTGAGAGCATAAACCTGAAAATGCTCATGCCAAAAAGCAAACAAGTGATATAGAACAGGGTGCCCTTCCAAATAGATGCAGGCTTAAGGACCCAATCTACTCAATTAACAGAGCCACACAGTCAATAGTGTCTCCTGAAGCTGACAACAATGACTCGCCCGAATAAGAGTTGAAGTGAATAAATTCATGAAGATACATATTGTCTACGAACCATAGTTCATTAAAGTCAAAAAATAAGAAAGCTTACACAAGATACCAAAATTAAACACATTGAAGAGAACCCATAAGAATAAACACTGAATTTGTTGTGTTTTATCAGCGTAGATAATTTTTTTAACTGACAATACTTGATAGTTGATATATAAAATCCAGTGGAAAAGAAAATAAACTTGATAATATCAATAATGGCTAGTCTGAGGCTGAGCTCATCACACATCCAATATGTGTTGAGAGCAAACTTGCTATTAACTTGGTCAATTATAAAGTTCTTTGTCAATGACCACCACATGAAATGTTATTGTAAAGCATGAATGACACGTGACAATACAAGCACATTCTGCTGAAATGACAGCACATCAGTTAAATCATGCAGGCAAAAAATGAATACATCTGTCTGATAAGAAAAAAATTAAAGACGCTAACAAATAATGCCTATTAGCTAACTGCCAACGTAATCTTTGACAACCTCTAAAGCATCATGTCCAAATGTTTGAGGAGATAAGGTTCATGATCTACAGAGTTCCCAACATTTAAATCCCAATTTGCCAAATAGATCAGACGAACCACTAACATTACAAGAGAAAATCCATTCAAACCAGCAATTCACTTTGGGCATCGATGAGAACACCACTTATTTACAATAAAGTGAAGTCCTTGCAGACAAGATATTCAAAAGAAAAGGTTACTCGTTACCTCCATCACATGGGTGCATATACAAAATACAAGCATTCATATCATTCATATAACTGCTAGAAAAGTTCTAATCAGTGCTCACAAAACATGCTGCATTGTTGTAATACAAATAGTCATCCTTTTCCTCTATAAATAATGTTGCATTATGAAAAACTTAAAAATAAAACTTACAAATGATACAACAGAAGTACCTTTCTTTCAAGAGCTGCCACCCTTTGATGGTACTCCTCTCGGAGGGACTCGATTTCTGCTTCATTGGATTTTCTCTGTTGATTTTCAGCAGTTAAATGGTGAATAGAAATATATATATATAATAAAGTAACTTACAATTTAAATCTCAAAAGATAAACAAAATGACTTTTGCTATTCGCGGTTGAGATCGCTTTAAATTTTATTTTAAAGTTAATCTCACGGCTAATATTAACACCCTAAATTTAATAAAAAAAATAGGCTCATAAGGGTGTATTTGGAGTGACTTTCTAAAATTATTTTTAAATATTATTTTTCATAAATACTTTAAAAAAAATAGTATTTGAAACCGCCCCAGCTCTACCATTACCACCGCCATCGCCACCACCATCGCCACTGCCACCGTCGCCGCCACCACCACCACTGTCATTGCCACCTCCACCCCCACTGCCGCTATCACCACCACCTCCCCCACTGCCACCACCGCCACAGCCACCGCCACTGTACCACCACCGCCACTACAGTCATTGCCACCCACCACAACCATCACCATCTCCTACCATCACCTCTCACCCCCACTACAAATCGGTGCTTAAATTTCTTTATCTCTTCTCTATATTTGTGATTTGATTTTGGATATGAATACAAATATGTATTATTGTTTATCATTTTTTATTACTCTATGCCTTCAGGCACAGACAATATCTAATATATATATATACACACATTTGATTATCCTTATTAAGGTAATAAAATCAAACAATGCAATTACAAATGGATGTAGCTTGAAGATCATACCGATGCTCAAGAAAATGGAAAATGGAAAATGGAAAAGGAAAAGAAAGTAAGACTGACTTGTTAGTGGATGTTAAAACATTAAACTTGTTCATTCAAAAGTGAGATATGTAATGGCAGACTACCGAACGATGCAATCAAAAGTTTTACGACTGCAATCTGTTTCCATTCTGGCCTCTTTTCTCACACTGACCCAGGCACACTTCCTTCTAGTTGTTTTTTCGGAGTTCTGAGAGCTCTTGGAGGTAATATTGTGAATACATCAATTCAGATATGATGAACAAAAAATTTCATCCACCTGGACCTCCCTATCAGGTCTTCCCCTTCAAACTAGCTTCTTTTTTAACCGCACATCTTCCCTCATGGAACAAGTTTCGCTGCTTCAGAGTTGCATATACTAAGAGGATGTAGAGTGGGCAGCAGGTAGTGAGAATCGAACTCCCGACGGTAGCTACGAAGGCTAGGAGTTAATAGTAGATGTCGATTCATTGTTTTTAATTTCCCTAATCACAACCAAACATGGAACTTTGGTTTCATTCGGCCCTTTTATGGAAGACGGATAAATTAAAAAATCTAATACGTAAACAAAATTATGAAAACAAATTCTACTTATGACGCCTATTTCAGTAAATGTTCTCATCAATATTACCCTTCATCTATAGAAAATTCCAAGCATTGTTTTCAGAAGGTTTGACTAGTACATCCCTCCCTTTCTTTGTACTTGTCTTTCACCTACTCTTCTCCACCTTCTATGTGAAATCGGCCTCTAAGTTGTTGTCATTTTATTTTCTCAAGTAATTTCCTCCTCTCATTCCAATGAGTATAACAAGGTTTATAAAATATGAGTATATGTTAATAAAATAGATCCTTTTATTTTCACNCACGGCTAATATTAACACCCTAAATTTAATAAAAAAAATAGGCTCATAAGGGTGTATTTGGAGTGACTTTCTAAAATTATTTTTAAATATTATTTTTCATAAATACTTTAAAAAAAATAGTATTTGAAACCGCCCCAGCTCTACCATTACCACCGCCATCGCCACCACCATCGCCACTGCCACCGTCGCCGCCACCACCACCACTGTCATTGCCACCTCCACCCCCACTGCCGCTATCACCACCACCTCCCCCACTGCCACCACCGCCACAGCCACCGCCACTGTACCACCACCGCCACTACAGTCATTGCCACCCACCACAACCATCACCATCTCCTACCATCACCTCTCACCCCCACTACAAATCGGTGCTTAAATTTCTTTATCTCTTCTCTATATTTGTGATTTGATTTTGGATATGAATACAAATATGTATTATTGTTTATCATTTTTTATTACTCTATGCCTTCAGGCACAGACAATATCTAATATATATATATACACACATTTGATTATCCTTATTAAGGTAATAAAATCAAACAATGCAATTACAAATGGATGTAGCTTGAAGATCATACCGATGCTCAAGAAAATGGAAAATGGAAAATGGAAAAGGAAAAGAAAGTAAGACTGACTTGTTAGTGGATGTTAAAACATTAAACTTGTTCATTCAAAAGTGAGATATGTAATGGCAGACTACCGAACGATGCAATCAAAAGTTTTACGACTGCAATCTGTTTCCATTCTGGCCTCTTTTCTCACACTGACCCAGGCACACTTCCTTCTAGTTGTTTTTTCGGAGTTCTGAGAGCTCTTGGAGGTAATATTGTGAATACATCAATTCAGATATGATGAACAAAAAATTTCATCCACCTGGACCTCCCTATCAGGTCTTCCCCTTCAAACTAGCTTCTTTTTTAACCGCACATCTTCCCTCATGGAACAAGTTTCGCTGCTTCAGAGTTGCATATACTAAGAGGATGTAGAGTGGGCAGCAGGTAGTGAGAATCGAACTCCCGACGGTAGCTACGAAGGCTAGGAGTTAATAGTAGATGTCGATTCATTGTTTTTAATTTCCCTAATCACAACCAAACATGGAACTTTGGTTTCATTCGGCCCTTTTATGGAAGACGGATAAATTAAAAAATCTAATACGTAAACAAAATTATGAAAACAAATTCTACTTATGACGCCTATTTCAGTAAATGTTCTCATCAATATTACCCTTCATCTATAGAAAATTCCAAGCATTGTTTTCAGAAGGTTTGACTAGTACATCCCTCCCTTTCTTTGTACTTGTCTTTCACCTACTCTTCTCCACCTTCTATGTGAAATCGGCCTCTAAGTTGTTGTCATTTTATTTTCTCAAGTAATTTCCTCCTCTCATTCCAATGAGTATAACAAGGTTTATAAAATATGAGTATATGTTAATAAAATAGATCCTTTTATTTTCACTACACTTAACGTTTCTTTCGAAAATGAGTATATGTTAATAAAATATGCAAGCATTCTGCAATCAAAAAAAAGGACCCTTATTTAGAAGAGAGCTGATATACAAATGGATTTAGCCTTCATTCATGTTTATTCTGCTAATGTCTAAAACAGTTTCATTGCCAAACAAGCACCACCAAAGTTCTCAGTCATCATACATAGAGCACTACAAAAATCATTACTGCAGTCCGCAAACATCACCACCTACAACATTAATCCCTGCAACCACATCATCAGCCCCAACCAACCACTGCCATTTAACGATTTCATGCTTAAAGTACTGGCATGCATATTTAAAGAACATAGGCATTTCATCAACATAAATTTTATAAAAACATTTCAAATAATAGGAAGTAAAAAGACACACTAGCAAAACAAGTTCGCTCAAACAACAGGAAGGGAACTAGATGTATAACTATTCTGAAACATCAGTGGCAGAACTATGTTAGGACCTGGGCGCCCATGTCCTTTCTTTCAAAATTGGATTTTCCATGGCCGAATGTTACTTTTTTTTTATTTGGCACCCCACAGTAACAATATTTCCTAATTAGCGCCCCCCCCCCTAAAAAAACAAAAAACAAAAAAAACTACCCCGAAGTTTCTTGTTCCGGCCACCAGGGTCACTTTTAAAGTAAATATACGTGTCATTAGCACTTATTAACCCAAACGAATCACCAACATACTCGTATCAGGAGAAAAGAATAGCACCATTCTTACCATCCGATCCTCAATTACAGCCTTTAGTTGCTCGTTTTCATTCATCAACTTTGCAATTTCATCAGCTTTTGCCTGTAAACAAATTTTAAAAATGACTAAATTTCCAAAGAGTATATATTCAAAAAAAAGCATCACAAGTCGTATAATGTTTTGTACCCTCAAGTGCAGATAAATTATACACTTGAGCCGATCAAAAGCCAGGATATGCAGTAAACACAACTAAACATACATGTCTGACAATAAATTAGGCACAGAAAAAAAAAACGAATATCACATGGGGGTAAAGAGGCTCTTAAAAACTCACATATTTTTTAAAGGAAAAAAAAAGCAATCAGAATATCAGATGTAGTAGAGCCCTCTTAACACTAGTTGATTTCAAATCCAACAATGCATTTCCTATTATACAACCAAAATAGCATCCAATTACTCAACCACCTAATCAAAAATACTTACCTTCTTTGCATAGGTTTCAACTTTCATTCATATGAACATGGCAGTCAGAACATGTACAGTTTATTAGGCATGCTGGTCGTCACTCGTCAACACCTTCCAAATGTTCACGAACATACTTAAGACATCATGAATTGGGTCTGAGGCTTCGGTGCCAGTTGTGCTCAACTTGAAATAATTGTAGAGACTATGAAGTTAAATACCTGGGCTTGTCTAGCAGCTCCTTGTAGTGCAGTTTCCATCATTTTCATCTCCCTCTTCACCTTCTCTAATTCAGCCACAGAATCTGCAATGTCAGATGAGTTGCTTCCTGAACTTGGACGTTCCTTTAAATCAGATTCATGATCAGCTGCTCGTTGTTTCACTTCAACAGCTTTAGCAATTGCATCATTTTCATCTGAAACCGACTCAGAAACCATCTTTGAAGCCTCATCTAGATGTTGTACAGATAATGAATTGCTTTCAGAACATTCCTCAGCACTTCCAGTCTCTGCATGTTGGACAGCTGGAGAACTGATTTCAGAACAATCCTCATCATTTCCAGTCTCATCAGGCATCGCAGAATTAGAAATAGGGGCCTCTGTCCCAGTTTCAGTCCGGTTATCAGTTGATTCATTCCGGTTATCAGTTGATTCATTCCCAGCTTCAATTGGAGAAATTTTCTCTAGATGCTCTTCTTCTTGTATCTTTGTTTCACCTCGGCTCTCCTGCAAATCAATAATATCATGCAATTCTAGCACAGGGGCACTGCCCTTTACTTGATGTAAAGAATTAGTTGAATTGGCTTCCACTGTCTCTGAATTTTCAAAATATCCTGCTTCTGGGTTCTCCTTCTGTTCGAGATGGTTTAAGGAATCTGACTCCTTAACATGATCAATAGTGGGTCCAGATATTTCAAGAGGCACCAGTTTTGAATCGGATTCAGCTTTACTATGGTCTCCAACAATGGTATTTGTTCCCTCTGCAATGGCTACACTTGTTCCCTCTGTAGTGTCCGCATGCGTTTCAGTTTTCACTGTTTCTTCATTTGCATCTTCGGTAGGTGCAGTTTGTTCCAGAACAGAATTGGTTGAGCTAGCTATCTCAAGCCCTTCTTTTTCCTCAACATCAGATGGAGGATTGGAGGGTCCTTCAGGTTTCTCAAATGATTCAACAGTACTTTCCCCACCTTTATGCCCAATAAAAGCCATGACAGGTTCAAATATTGCTTTCTTGTCTGTAGCAGCAGGCCATAACCCTGAAGCTGGTATCCATATAGTGAGGTGGTTCAAAAAAGAAATTAGGCAAAATCAAGCTTAACTTTCATAAAAAGGTAGCTAACAATATGGCTACTGAGTGTATAATTTCTACACGTGTACACAAAGGAGGGCCATCGCTCAAGGTGTCGAGGCTCTTGAGAAAGCTTAAAACCGCAAAGAAGGGCCATTGACTTTTTATAATTTGTGTGTACAAGGAACATCAACTTAGGACATCCATGAAGCAGCAAAGACTTAATGTAAATAGAAATCATTTGTTGCTCCAATTCAGTTATTGATCCATACAGACTGCATGCAAACCATACCACTCTCGCAATGGGAAGTACCCGTGTTGGAAATGAAAATGAAAAATGTATGAAATACCCTATTTTGGCAACCGGAAGGTCTACCAATTAACATATACCTCACATCTGCATCCTATATTCAAATTTGTGGTGATTCCTTGGGCTAATCCCTCGATATGCTCCTCTTCAAACTTGTTAATTTTAAAGTAAGTGAAGTACTCCTCTTGCACACATCGTGATATATTAAGTCATTAAGACATCATTCGCAATATGTTAGTTGAGAAGAAATACAGGCCTTCTCAACAAATTCAATAACCTGAAAATGATAAATCCAACACTGAAACACCGTGCATGGTCAACACATCACATAACACTCCCTGGGATTGTAATGCAGAAAAATGATAATCCAACACAATATGAAGTATGGATGCACTATTATTACACATTTGAGAGAAAGCTCAACATTCACAACCATGTCCCCCCAATTAATGATCATGACGCTCTCAATGACCAATTGAAGCCCTATCTAACATATTTTCTTTAATACAAACATGAATTAGAAGTTCTAGGCACAATTCACAAATATGCTCCAGCCCTAACATAATAATACACTTTGGATAGTCAGACATACCAGCTAGAAACTACAATAGAGCGTTAAATATTTTGCTAAGCCTAAGAGTCCTCCAAATTTGAATTATTTCCCAATAACTATCCCTTAATCTCTGCACCCCATAATGAGCCTGGAAATCACTGGCCTGGATCATTTTTTATCCCCAAATGCAACCCATCAAAATCTGAGAGGCTGCAACCAGTACTCAGATGAAAATTGAAATTAGTTCACTTTCCAGCTAAGAAGCATGGATTCAGATACGAGATATGGATATGGCAAAACACCAAAAAAATATGATACGGGTATGACTAAAATACGTCTATAACATCATATATCTTATATTTGTACTATTATGTAATGAGTTGATAGCCATAATTTTTAGTAATTCTTTAACAGTAATAAACAACATTAACAATTTATTATTTTCAAAAAGCAACCTATTATCTCACTAAGTCACTATAGTACATCTAAAAAGCAAACATGTTTAATTAAATAAATAAAAACCAACATTTAACTAGATTATTTGCTTAGAAGTGTTTGTTGTTAAGATTATAATGTAATCAATCCGATGAGTATCGGTACAAATAGGTTGATCTTAATAAAGTATCCGTGCTTCTTAGCTTTCCGTACACAACATAATTCATATCAAATTCAAAGTAATTGGTTAAATGCGGCCAGCCTATATTAGACTTTTGATATATGCTATTCTTCTTTACACTTTATACACACACCCATACCCACGATCACACACGCACACACATCTACACATATACAGAATAAACATTAAGAGAGAGACCATGAAAAACAAAAAGTTTAGTAATACCTTCACTGCCACCGGTCTCGGTGTTGGACTTCTCCTCGAAACCAAGAGCACTATCAAAATTCTTCTCAATGTTCTTCACGCTCTCACTGAACTTGTTCACAACCCCAGAAAGATCCTGAAAGCCCCCAAAAGAGACTTTCCCACTAAACCACGCCATCTTCTAACAAATAGATCAAACAATCAAACTTGCCGGATTACAGGCATCAAGAACCCTACAAGGACAAATAAAAAAATCAATCACAATCAGCCAAACCACTAAACATCTAATAACGCATTCAAAAAATCAATCATAAAGATCCAGATGGACACCGAAATACAATAATAAGCTCGTTGACGAACACAAAGGCATGTAAGGCATTCCTGGTCTATCAATTTGCAACAAAGATTTGGCAATGCAATAGATGTCAAACGAACACCAGGATCTGTATTTAACTGAACAAACCTGACACGTAGAGTTTATAAATCCACATGAACTTCGGCGAATGCCTTGTGATTGCGAATCAAATTGAGCCTATCTTTGTTAATGTGGGGTTTGAGGGCAACTAGAAAGATCCAACAGGAGCGAATAAAGGAAGATAGTGCTCGACTGGATCGAGTCGGAGCTTGGAACGGGAGCTTCTGGACATGGGAACCGTGATCTATCTGTTTAGGCTCCGCCGAGATGGGTTGTACTGTAGAGGAAGTCCATGATCCACCGCCTCGAAATTTTATAGAACGAATAGGATACACGACACCGTTTTATAGTATGGAATATCAATTGGGGTTAATTTAATTAAAACCTCCCCCAAACTTCAACAATATAAAATAGCATCCTTGAAAATGATTAAAATTAAAAATTTATAATTTATAATATAATTTTGTCAAAAAAAAATAGGTTCAACAATTATGGGTGTTATGGGTCAACTTATACCCACCTCAATTAATTTTTTTTTTGCTCTAATTAAAAATAGACCATTTACGTCAAAACTAAAATATTCATAAAATTTAAATTTTTTGTGATTTAACCCCGAGATTTTTGCAGAAACTCATCAAATATATTGAGTAGAGATAAATGACAATTTCACACATATATTTCTTGGTGTAATTTGGATTATGAACCAATCAAATATCGCTCACATTTTTTCTGTCTCAATCAAAACAAAATTGTAATGTCATTAGCCATACAACTATGTTTCAATGGCGTTTCATTTTCTCTTTTTCAATTGCATAATATCAATCATAATTTTTGTTTTGTTTGTATGGTTGTCGTGTTTATTCTTATGGTTTCGAAGTCATCTTCAAGCGTTATCACTTTGATGGCAATGAAAATATTGTATTTAATGATGTGATGGATGTTCACCAAGAGAATAATTTATATTTAGCACAATAAAGGGAGGTTTATTTTGTTGTCCATTTGTGTGTCTCTCTCTTATTTTCAGAATTTTAAGCAAAAATACAAGAAAAAACCGATATGAGTTATGTATAAATTGTCGTGTGTCATTGATACTTCCTATATAAAATTTAAAAAATCATTTGAACTTTATGAATTTACATTTTAAAAATAGTTTTTTGTACGTTGCATCTCACTAATACCGTTAAAGGTGTAATCCACTTACACACATGCACTTACTCGAACACCCACTCTTATTCAAATTAAGGAAAAATACATAAACTCGATGTGAGAGTATATATCCATAATTAAAATTTAATCATGTCAATGTTTATCACAAATGAATATCATAAAATTATTTAGTTCAGTGGCCTGCATGCAAAATTTGATAGTCTTTTTTCGTAGATCGATTTTTCTCTTACTAATAGTATGATTATATATATATCTAAGTTGTTGATCCACAATGAATTGATTTTACTGCAAAAGTTGAGGAACGGGGGTTAATAAATTGAAGTAGAGAAAAATCACACAGTTGCAATTGAAAATTCACAACTTTAATCGACAATTAGTTGGTGGAGATAATATATTGAAAAGAAAAGTGTTTGGTTACTAAGAGGGGGAAATCTACCAACGATTGTGAGAGAAAGAGAGAAGTACTAAAGAAGTAGGAAAAAAAATACAAATGAATAATGCAACATTCACTAAATTTTTTGGTCAAATCTGGAGTACAAATAACATGTCAAAGTCACTCATAAATTCCTTTAATGCACGTGTTTCAAAAATTTATTGTCGGAGTCATCATCGTCGCAAGTCTAAGTATGTCTAAAAGGATTTGGCACTTATGACCAAGTCAATTAAATATTTTTTTACATTTTGTGATACTCTGGATCCCAATCAATTATTGGATTGGATAGCTAATTTAGAATAATATTTTTATTGGTATGATATGTCGTATTCCCATTGCGTCCTTGCTAAATTGATGTTAGAGGGTTCCGCAAATAAGTATTGACAAACATTTAAAAAAATGATAGATTTTTAAGGAGAATCACCTATTTCTTGGGTTGAAATGAAATATAAATTAAAAGAGAATTATTTGCCAACTTTCTCACCAACCCACTTTGCTGACGTGTCAATACATAAATGGATGTTCGTAAACACACAGTTGATCCGAAAAGAAATTAATCTCTAATTAATAAGGGTGAGAGATGGGAAAAAACTGAAGACATGAAAAATTGTGAATTTCCTTTAAATGAAAGTTTCGTATAAATCTGGTGAAAGAAAAGGAGAGTCTCACTTTCAACTCGAAAGCTTTAAATATTTTTATTTTGTATGTTTAAAAATAAATTTTTGTACATTACACTCTTAATATATTAAAAAATATTATAATATGATCATTTTGTTATTTCTTGTGTTAAAATTCATCACATTAACATTGAAAGAATGAGTAATAGAAACTAATAAAATGGTCATATTGGAATATTTTTAATACATGAAGGGTTTAATATAAAATACTTAATATTTAAAAGTATAAAATGAAAATTCTTAAATTTTGTAGGGCATAAAGTGAAATTCACCCAAAAAAACAAAAAGGTGTCCTATAAATGAGAATAACGTCAGAGATTAACAAAAATTGATCCAACGTCATAAAATCACTCCCGCCCAGTGTTGTCTCCCGCCCCCATCATATTCTCTCTCCTCACTCCCGCTACCCCCCCCCACCCACCCACCTCTCTCAACCCTTAACCAGAACCTGAGAACTCCAAAACCCCCTCCCCACCCATCAAAATTCCCCAACCCATAACTCTCTCAACCCAAACCCGAGTCCACCAGCAGCGACCCAACTACGCTTGAGACGACGGCAACGACGGCGCCACTCTCTCTCAGGTAACTCTATTTCCCCCTTTTCCTTGTATACACAACTGATTTTCTCTCGATCTGACAACGGACACACGCCCACTCCGGCCACGCACGGTCCACTTGACTGGACATAACCACTCCGGCGATGCACAATTCACTCCGGATACACATTCTGCCGCCACAGGCCCACAGTCACTGCCCCCAACAACCCCCAGGGAACCATGCAACCGGCCTCAACCCCCTTCCGCGTCCTTTTCTCTTTCACGTCTTCTCTGCAAATTCCAGAAGTTCGCAACCATCCCAATCCCAACCCCTACAATGCAGTTCACAACAAGAAGCTCAAGGAGAAAAATTCCTCCGGTACGCACCACACAGTGGCTTCAGCAACCAGTTGTCCGAGTTCAAGAACATTTTAATAGGTGCTCATACTGAATCTAACCCTAGTTGTTCCTCCTGTTCTCGCTAGCTGCCCAAATTTTGGGTTTTGTGTCCCAAAGAGCTGAGGCTTTCGATTTGAAATCTACATATTTGATCCTATTTGGAGTTGCAGACAAGTGAATTTGCACTGTCTAATCATCTGTAGTATGCTTGGGTATAAATCATTTTATGAAAAGGGATTTAAGTATAGAATTTCTCAATTGGTTCTTTTAATTTTCTTCTGTTCTAAACAATTTCGCATAACACCTTGCAAGTTTTTCAACACATTATGTTTTCTAGTGTTAAGATTTATCACATTTGTTTGTGTATAGGTGCGGCTCAGTGTTGTGACGAGGAAACTTTGTGAACCATTAGAAGAGGGTTTTTGCTGAATCGGTTTTGCCTGTCTTTAGCTCTATCATTTTGGTGTTTCCATAATGGGATAGACCTGGAACAAGAGCAACATTATGCTTTCAGGAACTTTGGGTTACATAGGTCTGGAGTACCTTCTGTTAGGTTCTGAGGAAAGGAAGAAAAATGAAAATTGGCGTTTCCACAATGGGATAGACCTGGAACAAGAGCAGCATTATGCTTTCAGGAACTTTGGGTTAAGTAGCTCCGGAGTACCTTCTATTAGGTTCTGAGGAAAGGAAGAAACAAGAAAATTTTGATTCTCTGGGTTTCTATTGATTCACTTGTTTGGTCCCTTGAACTTAAGTGCGCTAATGATTTTATTACATTTCGAAAAACGATTCTGATTCCTGATTTAGTGTGCTCTTCTTTACCACTATTGAATTGAAAAGAGCAANAACTCTCTCAACCCAAACCCGAGTCCACCAGCAGCGACCCAACTACGCTTGAGACGACGGCAACGACGGCGCCACTCTCTCTCAGGTAACTCTATTTCCCCCTTTTCCTTGTATACACAACTGATTTTCTCTCGATCTGACAACGGACACACGCCCACTCCGGCCACGCACGGTCCACTTGACTGGACATAACCACTCCGGCGATGCACAATTCACTCCGGATACACATTCTGCCGCCACAGGCCCACAGTCACTGCCCCCAACAACCCCCAGGGAACCATGCAACCGGCCTCAACCCCCTTCCGCGTCCTTTTCTCTTTCACGTCTTCTCTGCAAATTCCAGAAGTTCGCAACCATCCCAATCCCAACCCCTACAATGCAGTTCACAACAAGAAGCTCAAGGAGAAAAATTCCTCCGGTACGCACCACACAGTGGCTTCAGCAACCAGTTGTCCGAGTTCAAGAACATTTTAATAGGTGCTCATACTGAATCTAACCCTAGTTGTTCCTCCTGTTCTCGCTAGCTGCCCAAATTTTGGGTTTTGTGTCCCAAAGAGCTGAGGCTTTCGATTTGAAATCTACATATTTGATCCTATTTGGAGTTGCAGACAAGTGAATTTGCACTGTCTAATCATCTGTAGTATGCTTGGGTATAAATCATTTTATGAAAAGGGATTTAAGTATAGAATTTCTCAATTGGTTCTTTTAATTTTCTTCTGTTCTAAACAATTTCGCATAACACCTTGCAAGTTTTTCAACACATTATGTTTTCTAGTGTTAAGATTTATCACATTTGTTTGTGTATAGGTGCGGCTCAGTGTTGTGACGAGGAAACTTTGTGAACCATTAGAAGAGGGTTTTTGCTGAATCGGTTTTGCCTGTCTTTAGCTCTATCATTTTGGTGTTTCCATAATGGGATAGACCTGGAACAAGAGCAACATTATGCTTTCAGGAACTTTGGGTTACATAGGTCTGGAGTACCTTCTGTTAGGTTCTGAGGAAAGGAAGAAAAATGAAAATTGGCGTTTCCACAATGGGATAGACCTGGAACAAGAGCAGCATTATGCTTTCAGGAACTTTGGGTTAAGTAGCTCCGGAGTACCTTCTATTAGGTTCTGAGGAAAGGAAGAAACAAGAAAATTTTGATTCTCTGGGTTTCTATTGATTCACTTGTTTGGTCCCTTGAACTTAAGTGCGCTAATGATTTTATTACATTTCGAAAAACGATTCTGATTCCTGATTTAGTGTGCTCTTCTTTACCACTATTGAATTGAAAAGAGCAAGAACACTAAAGAAGAGAAGTTCCTGATATCAAGGTCGGTATGTGTAGAATCTCTTTTGGTTGCGAATGTCATGATGTTCTTGGTTAATTATTTTTTTTTTTATGTTTTTGTGACTGTGACTGTGATTGGATAGAGAAGGGAAGATTTGGTTAGTGGTGCATATCAGGCTTACCAGGCAAACAATTGGTGTGTAAGTTTTGAATTGTTAGATTTGAATTGAATTCTTGAATGGTCAAAATTTAGCATCTCTAACCCTTGCTTTTTTTACCCAAATTTAAATTTGGTTAAAATATCCTTAAAACTTTTTCCAATGCTATACCCAAATCCATACCAAATTAAGGGAGATTTAAATTTTTATTCAAATCCAGGGAGATTCAAACCTCTACAATGGTTAGATTCCTTTCTCTTTTAAAGATCTAATTACCGTATTATATCTTCCTTTAAATTGGAGTTTGTCCTCATTTAAATTTGAGTCAAGGTTGGAGATGAACATCCACATAGGCCTTTTTTTAATTCAAGTTAAAATTTGAGATCAGGGACAATTTTTTAATCTGTTGGTTCAAATATGAAAAGGTTGAAATTTCACATTAGTCTTTGTTTAGTAGGCATGTTTATCTTTCTTTCATTCTCTCTTTTCTTTTCATTAGTAGTATGCTTAATTAAAATTTTATAGATATGTTGCATTTGATCTTTGTTTGTACTACCTAAGCTGCTTGGTTGTGTAGTACTTGGATAATTGATAAGAGTGGTCATCCGATATGTTGTACATGTTAAATTTTATTTAGGGGAAATTTTGCTCAATTTTTAAAAAATTTATTGGGCTCAGTTTGATTTTAAGTCTAACAAAAGACCACAAAAAAATAAAATTGTGTGATGAAGCCTTTAGGTACGAGAACTTTTTACTTTAATTGATTACTGTGGTTGTAGTTAATGAATTTGTTTCAATTGATAGTTGTGGATTTAGGATTACTGTGTTGTTGCGGTACTTGGTAAAAAGTTGTATCAATACAGGACTATGGCGTGATGATGAGCCCGGTAATTGGTTTGGGCCTTGTTGTCTTTAAACATTCGTGTATCAATTACTATTCTTTTAAATTTTGGGGTCTTGTTTTAGAGAAAACTTTATCCATATTTTCTCTTTTTCATAAACTTATGAGTGTATAACTCTACTTAATTTGGTTTTTGTTTCACACAGTTGACTACCATAACAGTTAGCTACCATAACAGTTGGCTGTTACCACCGTGTAGCCACAACCATTGCAAACCCATCTCTGCCACAATATTGAACACCATTTTATTTAAGTTCTAAACATCTCCAGTAGTTATTCTTGATTAATGCTAAATCTGAATTTTTCCCCCCCTCATCTTTTGACAGATGGATGAAGAATTAAAGAAAACCGTAAGATGAACTCCTTTTCACTCTGTTTATTATTGCTTCTCCTATTCTCCCGGCGTATTTATCTTTTTAATGTCTTATAGGTTCAGTTGCTCTGGGAAAACAAAGTTGGTGTTGTGCTTCGTGATGAGCGCAATCTCAATTGTATGCGTATTTCCGAGGTAGAGTGACACTACATATGTTTGTCTATCGTTATTTATTTATTTTTTACTAATTGGTTTTTACTTTTCTATACTAATTTTTGAAAGGAAAAGGAAAACTCCAATGCAACTGCAAATGCGAGGTGTATGGGAAAAGAAAAGGCAAGTTCTTTTGGCAAGGGTATAGAAAGTACATCGTGCCAGTTGGTATGATTTTCATTCAATTCTTTAAAGTTTATTTTTTGCAATATTGACCAAATAGATGAAAATGTACAGTCTATTGCTTTGGAATTTATGTTTTAGGCACCCAATGATATTGTTATTTCAAAAGCAACCTTGGCTCAACGTGCAAGACGCGAACGAGAGAAACAAAATTCTGGGAAAAAGAAAGAAATTGAGTGCTCTGCACGTCAATTGGCACAAAGAGCACGGCGGGAACGAGAGAAATTAGGACAGACACCTGTCCAACCCAGATTTTTTCCTTCTTTACCACCGAGCCGTCGTCGTCGTGCATGCTTGTTACGGGCAATAATTAAAAGATCTCTTGTTCGATCGACGACTATGTCTGCAGAAACTCCTGATATTTTTGCAAAGCGAACAATACCAACAAATGTCTCTGGGTCATCATCTGTGACCACCATGCTCCAAGAAATGCATAAACTGAGTGAAGGTTCCACGACACAAGTGGAACCACAATCTAGGTGTTCCATGGAAATTCCAGAACTTGTAGCAGAACGAACAAAGCCAACAAATGTCTTGGGGTCATCTTCCATGAACACCATGCTCCAAGAAATGCCTAATTTGATTGAAGGCACTGCAACACAATTGGAAGCACCATCCAGGTGTTTGTCACAAGTTTCAATTTTTTACTCTTATGGTTTGTATGTTTTTAACTTATAATTTTTTTTTACTCTTATGGTTTTGATTCTTTAAAATTTATTAATGTGACCACCTTGCTGTTAGAAGCTGCATCCCTGTAAAAGTAGATACATGAATGGATAGAAATGAATTACCAAATTTGCAAGCTTTATTGTTTTGCAATGCGCTTGCTCTGACACCGTTATTCTTTTCCTTTTGGCCTTTTTGCAGAAACTTAGATACACAATCTAATTCTGAATTCAAAGATAGTACTCCAAGGGAACCAAAACGTTGCAAGTGCAAACAGTCAAGATGCCTAAAATTGTGAGGCCTTACCTCTTTGAATGCTTACGAATATCACTTGAAATTTAGAAAGAAGATTTCTTTCAAGAACTTGTTTGTTTTCCAATTTATTGCACGATATTCTTAATCTTGGTTGTGCTTTTGCTAAGGTTAAACCATTTTTATACTTGGCTTAACAGAGAGACCAGCTCATATTACAGCTCAGTTCGGGTATGATGCCTTTTTAAACCCTAAGTTTATGAATTAAGAGTGGATTTAGTTTTTGCAAGAGAGAGATGATCCAAATTGCAAATTTGATCTTGACATGCAAAAAATTCTAAGCTTTTGACAAGCAATTAAGATGGGTGTATTATGTATAGACTAGAAATATTTGTGAGTGAATGAGATACAAACTAAGTGTAGAGCCCCCGTATATATAGTCAATGAGAGTTACAATAAGGACAAAAAGGTAAAAAAAGGAAAACTTAATAAAACCCTAATAAACTAGGCTGCTGCTATATCTCCAACACTCCCCCTCAAGTTAGGCGCAAAAATGTCAATTAAGCCAAGCTTGACAACGGAGTCCCGAAGAATAGACAGAGTGATAGGTTTGGTAAAAACATCCGCAACCTGATCACTGGTCCCCACAAACGATGGAGTGACAATACCACTGCTAACCTTCTCCCGAAGAAGGTGAACATCGATCTCTATATGCTTCGTCCTCTCATGTAGTACAGAGTCAGAAGCGAGCTGAATAGCAGATCGATTATCACAATATAATGTGGATGGAGAGGCCACTGAAAAACCCAACTCGCCAAGAATCGATCGTAGCCAGATAATCTCACACGTGCCAAGTGCCAGTGCCCGATACTCTGCCTCTGCTGACGAGCAGGAGACAACTGCGTGCTTCTTGCTCTTCTAAGAGATAAGATGAGTCCCTCGAAAAGCACAGAAGCCCGTAGTAGATCGACCATCACATGCTCTCCCATAATCTGAATCTGAATAACAGGCTAGAGAACCGGTCTGAGATCCTGATGCATAAAACAACCCAAGTCCAGGACAAGACTTGAGGTACCGAAGAATATGATAAACTGTATCAAGATGGGGCTGACATGGCCTGTGCATGAACTGACTAACTCGGCTGACTGCGAATGAAATGTCCGGCCTAGTATTGACTAAGTTGATAAGTCTACCCACCAATCTTTGATAAACTGTTAGATCTTTCAACTCCTCACCTTCAGCAATAAGTTTCAGGTTTGGAATCATGGGTGATGATACCGGTTTGTACCCCAATATCCCAGTGTCTGAAAGAAGATCCAAAACATACTTTCTCTGAGAAAGAATAACACCCCTATCGCTACGGGCAACCTCAATCCCAAGAAAGTATCGTAGAAATCTAAGGTCCTTCACATAGAAGGCCTTCCCAAGGTCTATCTTGACCTGTGCAGTCCCAGAAACATCATCACCAGTAATAATAATATCATCAACATATACCAGAAGGATGACACACTGTCCAGAAGTATTCCGTCGAATAAAGCAGGTATGATCAGAATGACACCTGGTGAACCCCAATCGTATGACTACATCACTGAAGCGAGAGAACCAGGCTCGTGGCGACTGTTTCAGTCCATAAAGAGACTTACGCAGTCGACATACCTTTCCAGCATACTCCCCCTCACCACGAAAGCCCGGTGGTGCATCCATATAAATAATCTCGTCCAGATCACCGTGAAGAAACGTATTCTTCACATCTAATTGATGAAGAGGCCAAGAGTACTTCGCAGCCAGAGAAATAATCAACCGAACAGTAGTCAATTTTGCCCAGGGGACAAATGTAGCACCAAAATCACGACCTGGTACCTGAGTAAAGCCCTTCGCCACAAGTCTAGCCTTGTAACGATCAATAGTACCATCNTTCACATCTAATTGATGAAGAGGCCAAGAGTACTTCGCAGCCAGAGAAATAATCAACCGAACAGTAGTCAATTTTGCCCAGGGGACAAATGTAGCACCAAAATCACGACCTGGTACCTGAGTAAAGCCCTTCGCCACAAGTTTAGTCTTGTGACGATTAATAGTACCATCCGTAAGAAACTTCAGGGTATAAACCCAGCCACAGCCAACAGGCTTCACCCCTGAAGGTAAGGAGACAAGATCCCATGTATGATTACGCTGAAGAGCATCTATCTCTGTCTGCATGGCAAGAACCCATTGGGGCTCCCGCATAACCTCCAAAATAGAGCGAAGAACCGGCGAATCTGATAAGGCCATAGTATAAACTCTAAACTCGAAATGTGGGAGACAGATCACCATAAGAAACATAAGCAGAGATCGGATATAAAATCCTGGCAGTCCAACCATAACGATCAACTGGACGGCGATCACGCTGCGGATAATGACGCCCTAAATCATACTCCTCCACTGATAATGTCTCATTAGGTAAATGAACTGACTCAGCACCTGCATTCTATTCAGTACTAACAACAGGTGCATCAATATGCCTAACAAACTGAGAAGTATTACCTGCATCGCCTGAGATAGAGGGGACATCAGCAGGGTGATGAGAGCGGGGGCGACGAACATACACCTGCAAAGGAAGAGAGACTGGTAACTCTGTACTGACAGGGATGAGTGGCTCTGAAGGAGGAGAAACAGATGACCCTGTAGGGATAATGACCAATGACTCTGACTCCTGTGGTAATGGAAAATCAAAGGGAGTATCATCAACTGGAGGGGCAGACAAAGGACTGAAAGGAAAATAAGGAATATGCTCAAGAAAGGTAACATCTAGACTGTGATACATACGACGCCTAATAGGATCATAANTGTGGTAATGGAAAATCAAAGGGAGTATCATCAACTGGAGGGGCAGACACAGGACTGGAAGGAAAATAAGGAATATGCTCAAAAAAGGTAACATCTAGACTATGATACCTATGGTGCCTGATAGGATCATAACATCAATATCCCTTAGATTGATGACAATGTCTCACAAAGATACAACGAATCGTTTTATCATCAAGTTTATGACGAGTAGGAGACCGATCCTGAACAAAACATGTGCATCCAAAAACACGAGGGGAAACCGAAAAAAGTGTCCGCTCAGGAAATAAGACTTGTAAGGGAGCCTTATGCTGAAGAACACGACTCGGCGTACGATTGCACAGAAAGGTAGAAGTCAAAACAGCAAAATGCCAATAAGATTTTGGTACCCTCATGCCTCTAAGCAGACAACGTACCATCCGTATCAAACTTCTATTTTTTCTTTTAGCAACACTATTTTGCTCAGGAGTATATGGACAAGTGAGTTGCTGAAGAATACCCTGAGAAGAAAGGTGAGACACTAAAGCATCAGACACATATTCTTTGGCATTATCCGAACGAAGAGCACGAACAATGACATCGAATTGTGTCTTAATCATCTGTAAAAACTGAGTAATTATAGGAAGTACATCAGACTTTCTATGCAAAAGGTAGATCCAAGTACAACGGGTATGGTCATCTATAAATATCACATAATATCGGGCACCTGACAACCCAGTAATGGGAGAGGGTCCCCAAATATCAGAGTGTATTAGGTCAAATGACTTAAGTGACTGAGCATGCGAAGAATATAACTGGCCCTAACATGTTTCGATAGGGAACATATAGCACAATCAAGTTTACCACCAACACAAGCATTGTTTAAAGTAGGAAACAACATACATAAATATTTAAAATTTATATGTCTAAAACGGTCATGCCACAACTGAACAGTTTGTGACGAAAAATCATAACGACAACTACTAGGTAAAATACTAGCATGCAAGCTAGGAACAGAAAAAGACAAAGCAGGTGCAGGTGAAGGAATTGGTGAAACTGGAGATGGATTGCCAAGATAATACAGTCCATCTTTCTCATGTCCCTTGATAATAATCCTCCTGGTACTNTAGGTGCAGGTGATGTAGGAGGAGGAATTGGTGAAACTGGAGGTGGATTGCCAAAATAATACAGTCCATCTTTCTCATGTCCCCTGATAATAATCCTCCTGGTACTCAGGTTCTGTAAATAACACGAATCAGATAAGAATACAATCGCACAATGAAAATCTCTGGCTAACTGATGTACAAATAATAGATTTATGGCCAATTTTGGCACATGAAAAACCGAACGTAATGTAAGGCCATCTGGGAGGCGGATTGTACCCTTACTAACAATAGGGGCATGTGTTCCATCTGTTAACTGAACCTGTGTATGTAACTGCTCGTCAAAAGTGGTGAAGTGATGGGTCTCACCTGTCATGTGACCATTCGCACCTGAGTCCAACATCCAAAGGGGAGATGAACTGGCATAAGCGTGAAAGGCACGAGGTATACCTGTAGTGGTGACAACAATAGTAGTCAGACTTTGAGAAGTCAGAACAGACATAAGTATATCTAATCGGGAAGTGATAGCATCCATATCACTTTGCCAAGGTGGAACAGAAGCTGCAGGAGTAGCGATAGTGGGTGGTGGTACCTTAGCAATAGCAACAATACGGCTGTGAGGAGACGGCTTAAGCTCTGGATGGAGCTTCCAGCAAGTAGCCCTGAGATGTCCTGGTCGGCCACAATAATCACATTGACGGGAATCCCCCTGTCTGCGTTGACCTGGGGCACCTTGACGGCGCTGATTCGCACGTTGCCCACCCCTGACTGAGGATCCTGAACAAGACCCTGCAGCAATTGCAAGGGCCATCTAGTCAGCCGAAGGAGTCAAAGTCGCAACTGGAAATGATGCAATACGGATTCGACGCTCATGCTGCTCAATCATCCCATATACCTCATAAAGAGAAAAAAGTGTGAACATCGACAAGATCTGAGAACGAGGTCCCTCAAACTCATCACGAAGCCCCATAAGGAACTTGTGAATCCTATTCTCCTGCTCTCGAGTATGCAAGAATGTTGCTCCCTTGGGCTCTATCTTCGGAATAGCAGCAAGAGGACGTAGAGTCTCATACTCAAGCCAGCGCTGGATTAAATAACCATAATAATCCTGAACGGTCATATCTCTCTGTCGAGCATATAAGAGCTCCTGAGAAAGCTCATAAACACGAACTCCCCGTCCTGACTGAGAATACATCTCTGATAATGCGCTCCATAGTTTCACAACAGAGCTATGAAACTGGTGGATCCTGCAAACAGATGGCTTCATCGAGCCAAATAACCATCCAAGAATGGCGTAGTTCTCAGAGAACCACGCAGAATATCCAGGGTCAGCATCAGTTGGCTTTGGGTGAGATCTCGTCAACCAACCAAGCTTTCCTACACGGCCTAAGAAAAGTTGGAATGAGCGAGACCACTCAGCAAAGTTATGATCATTCAACAACTGTGCCGTAACTTTCTGAGAGATCATGCCCGGTAATATTGGTAATGCAACTGTGCTAGTAGGTACTGTATACTGGTCAAACATAAAAGTGGAAGTACCCATAGATGTCTCAACGGTAAAGGTGTCAACAGTAGGGTTCTCAAGTTCCTCAGTAGTAGCCATATCAACAACAATACTAGGGCACCCGTGACAGAAAAACAACTCTAAGATAAATAGAGGAATAAAATAAGGGAGAACAATATACCTTCAGTCGAACAGTAGCGACAAATAAATAAGGTCTAAAAAGCTCCCAAATAATTAGGTCACGGTGCCCAGAAATCCAAAATATATAAATAAGTAATCTACTGTATCAAGGGCAGATCAACAGAAAAGAGGATTCAACCCTTCTTAAAAGGGCGGAAAAGGAGGGTAGTGGCACAAAGATATGACAACACTACGACAAAGAATGTGGAGCACAAAGGTAAAACACGAAGCTGCGAGAAAGAGCGCGATCCGACAGTGGGCTGGTTCGCTGGCCGTATGTTTGGTTTGATGTGGGTTTTGGGTTGGTTGGGCTTTGGGTGCAGGGTGTGTTATGTTTGCGGTGGGGCAATATGTTTGAGAAGGCAGTCGGTGCAATTTGGAATTGCTGTTTGGGTATGTTTGTCGGTGGGGCAATATGTTTGTTAGTGGGTATTTTTTTTCTGTTTTGGTGAGGATTTCTTTGCTGATTTGTTAAGCAGTCGGTGCAATGGGTTATCGAAGGCTGTCGGTGATGGTGAGGAGTTCATTGCTGGTTTGTTGGGCAGTTGGTGCAGTGGGTTATACAGGCAGTCGGTGCAGTAGGGTGAGGCTGTCGGTGATGGGCTGGGTTTAGGATTTTCGGTGGCAGGCTGCTGGTCTGAGTTCGCTGGAGTGAATCTGTGCCGACTGACTGATTTGGTTGGTCTGGGCAGTCATGGGTTAGGGTTAGAGTCGGTGGCTCTGATACCAACTAGAAATATTTGTAAGTGAATGAGATACAAACTAAGTGTAGAGCCCCCGTATATATAGTCAATGAGAGTTACAATAAGGACAAAAAGGTAAAAAAAGGAAAACTTAATAAAACCCTAATAAACTAGGCTGTTGCTATATCTCCAACATATAACACTTTTGCTTTTTGGAATTTTTTGTATTAGTTATGCCCTTGCTTTCTCACTCTTGTTTTTCAAACTATCCATAATTCTTTAAAAAAGTTCCAATGACTACATAAAAGGCAGTGAAATAGTTGGATATGCCTTTTCTTCTCATAAGAAGATGTTTACTATGAACCAAAGATTTTTCTGTATAGCACTGTTCAACATGAAGGTGTACTTAAGTTCCTCCTCTCTAGTTTCTCTTGCAAAAGTTCTTTTGTTATACTCATTCACTTTATTTAATGCTAATGAATAATGATGGAAGGGTGTTCTGCACCTGTTACTAACCTCTATCTGTCACACTTTGGATGAAAGATGCTCGGCAAAATGCAATGACGATCTGCACTTCACATGAATATTCTGTGCTGTATTTGTTGTGCTAAGTCCTTTACTTTTACACAATGCTGATTCAGAAAGACTGTTAGGTACTGTGAGTGTTTTGCTTCTGGAACATTCTGTGATGGGTGCAGCTGCGCCAGTTGTCAAAATAACCTTGAAAACAAGGCTGCAAGGCAAGTTGCTGTTGAATTGACCTTAGAGCGCAATCCAAATGGATTCAAGCCAATGATTGCTGGTAGTCCACTCCAAAATCAGGAAAATAAGGTTTGCAAATGGATTTTGAAGGTTTTGAAGGACTACTGTCTGCTGAATAAATATTATTGATTGTTTGTTTGACAGATTTTTTTTCACTTTTTTTTCGATGCACAAATCAATGGGAAGTTTTGCAGTTTCCTGTTTGATATTATCATAATGGCACAATGGTTTTCCCATAGATTTGTTGTTTACTTTTTGGCTGTTTACTGCTTATAAAATCATTGTTTGCATGAGATTTTGGCTTTGAGGTTTTGCTTCATAAGGGTTGGTTCTTCAATATTTGAAGAACCTAATGATTTCTTTTCTGTTCACGAAAAATCCTCGGGAGATTTTCCATATGTAGGCAAAGTAGAGTTATCTGAACTATAACTATTTCCTTCAATTTTTTCCTTACAAATGTTTGTCTCATAAATTTTCAATTTGTTTGCCTAAATGAATCATTTTCAAGTGGATTAAAGTAAAGTAGAGTAGAATATTTTTGTACTACTCAATATAGTTGATTGCACTCATGTTGTGGAATGTGTGGTCTAAAACAACATTGCTAGGGTATTAGTCTTTTTCAATCTGGGTCAAGCTATCCATTTTCGCAACAGATTATGATGAAGTCGGATAACACATCATTCGTGGTAGGACACGTGGTGTTTTTTTGGGGGGACAAGTTCTCCTTGGTGCATTAGGCGTTCTTTTCAAGTCCTTCTTTATGGGACGATATGTACCTTAGTTGGAATATCAAAATTCAGTGATTTCATGAAAACGTAAGTATGATTCATTTTATCAGCACATCAATTCATTTGTTACTCTCTATGTTGACTGCATTCCAAATTCTTTAAACAAATATAAGAATAAGGCAAAAGATGCTGTGATGGCGACAAAATACCAGAAGGGATGCCACTGCAAGAGATCAGAGTGCCTCAAGAGGTATTGTGAGTGCTTCCATGCTAACATCCTATGCTCTGAGAACTGCAAATGCGTGGACTGCAAGAATTCTGACAAATTCAAAGAGAGGTAGGCTGTTGTAAAATGGAAGTAATGCTAATACAGTGGTGGCCTGTATCCAGCAGATCAATTCTGCGTAACTTGCTATTGGGTTTTCTGTTCATAGGTCCTCTCAAGAATTCAAGAAGAAAACGGAACAGGAGAACATCCTCGATTCAAAGAGCGAGGAACCACAGATTGTCAGGCTGTCCCAATACCAAAAGGTAATAGATTCTTAGCATTAAAGAACATCTTAGCTGTGTAGTTGGTGGAGACATTTACAACTTTTTACTGCAAATAGTTTTCCAGATATAGTATATGGTTTTATTTTTCTTACATGGTTATCTGTTGACATGCATCAGTGGGCGCCCCTGCCGTTTCACATGTGAAATTAAATTTGAATAGGCTCAAATTTTTCTTAGAGCAGCTCTGCTTGTCCATCTGGATTGTTGTCTTACTTCTCCATTTGGTTTAACTGTGTAATGTTACAACTGTAATGTTCTCTATGGTTTTCAGATTCTAAGAAATCAGCTGTATCTCTCTCTCTCTCTCTCTCCCCATTTTCCTATAAATACCAAAGCATTGGAGGATCCAAGGCATCCTCTCTCAAACGTTCTTCATCAGCTGGGTTCTCTTCTTGGAGGCAGTACTGCTAGGGCAGAAGGCGGTTTCTATTGGTTTGTAATCCAAAAACCAAATAAAAACTGGTCCCCTTGAACACTAAAGTGGGGTTCGATAAATGACTTGAACTATATTTTCAAAGACACATTTAAGGTTTAGAAAACATTTTCAATATAAACCCTAGGAGTCATTTCCAGATACATTCCTAATTCAGTTTTTAACACTAATTATCCTAAGTTTAATGAATCAAACAAAGGGTTCTTACGACTCTATGGTCACTACTTTTGTCCCAAGTATGAAGGTGCATCAAATTGGTCTCGATATGATATTGTAGCTTGATCTCCTCCCTTCAATGTAGCTTTCAGATCTTGAACTTGATAGCATCATGACCATGAAAGTGGTTGAGATTTTACAATGGACTCCACGAAATTAGCCAATTATGAAACATGATCTAACAACATACATTCTCAGTATAGCATATCCATCACTTTCATCATTAAGCACATTACTCTAACAAGCCTTTTCTGTCTTTCTTGTTTGTCAGATTGTAAGTTCCATGACATTGGGCTCCTCGAAGGTCGTCTACAGGTCCATATCTAGGATAGAAATGTTTTAGTTTTCAGAGTTTATCAAAACTATGCATTTACATCTGCCCACAATAACTAACTAGTATTGCTGGTCATAACTGAAGATCCTTGTTAGCTGGCATCATTCAACAGCAGGACATGAGGGACCTTTGTTCGACATTGGTGGTAATATCAGAAGCTGCTACAATCCTTGCAGGTATAATCCCGCATAGTGAGGGAGGAAAACTTTTTTGGGTTACGAGAATCCTATTTCACCATCAGTGTTTTAATTCCAAAACAGGTGTCTCTCATGGTGATAATTATTCAATCATCTACATTGGTCAAAATGTTAAATACTGATGAGTTCCGATCAGAAAATATGGCGAGATTTTAAAAGCTCATGAAACTACAATGATAATGCATCTAATTATTGTTAGATCTGTGTTTATGGTTAAAAGGTCAAGTCCGTAGGCTTACTTAGACCTAGAAGTTAGTTCTCAATAGTAATTACCAGAAACTATCATAGCTACGCCATTGAATGTGTGATTTGTTTAAACCGATTCTCCGATTACTCCTTATCCGAGTGATTTCCTTTGCCAACCCAAGTTCTTTTCCTCTTTTACTTCCCTTTTTTAAACTTGTTCCCTCCACCAAGCTCAACTCGATTTTTCTGTTTCTCGTTGTATATATATACCCAATAATTACTCTAGTGAAGGATTATGTCTATCAAGCTATCGTCAACAAACATAGGACTTTTCATTTTTGTATTTATACAGTGTTTATATGTAGACAAAAACAGTTCTCTCCATGCACAAATCATGACTGAAAACCAGAATGTCACTTCCTCTAATGCCGAAGATGGGGAGGATTGTTGCAAAGGATTTGAGGTTCAGAAAACTATGCTAAATGACCAACCAAGTGGGGATCAGGTTGATATATGTGGGGAAGATGATCCAATATCCGGCGAAGCTGAGACAGAGAAAAGAAGGCCGATGTCACCTGGAACACTTGCACTGATGTGTGATGAAAAGGATATGTTCTTTATGCCAGATGCTTCCTCTGATGGGATTCTGAACCATGGCTGCAATAGTAATGTATATGTAGAGCAGGAAAGGCTTGTATTGGCAAAATTTTGTGACTGTCTCCATACGCTCATCACTCATGGAAACATAAAAGGTAAGATTTAGTATCTCATCCCTCTAAACTTGGAGCTATTAACAGCAATAACATGATTGTGAACATCATGAAACATCCTAGAGTAGATCCAGCCTGATAAAACGATTAGTTTTGGAATGGTCAAACGAGTGTATCCCATGTAGCTAGTCGCGATGGATGTAGATGGTTTTTATGAGATTCTCATTCGCAGGTGAAAGAAAACCATAACCGATAGCACCGATATTTTTTTTAAGGAGACTTCTTCACATTTTTCACGTATGTTTCTTCTTTTTGCATATGTTGACTAAACTGCCTTCAATGAAAGCAATATATTTTATGTGCACATTCTGCTAAAATTCTCTATTTCAACTCTGTTTTTTAAATAACCATTCATTGGTTTCAATCTCAAGCACATTATTAGCCTTTGAAAACCTATCTGATATTAGAGGAACTGGTAGAAGACTATGCTATTTATGTATACCTATTGTGAAACCTATCATGTATTAAATTGGAGACGTCTCTTTAAGTAAAATAACCACAAAGAAGTGGGACAAAGTACGAGTAAAATTTGTGAGTCTAGCCTAAGTTCTTCAATTACAAATTAGCACTACTAGACCCAGATAGCACCACCTATGCATCCACAGTGCGGTCCTAGCCTTCTAATTTTTTAAAGACCTGAAACATGCTATACCTATATTGGTCAACAACTGTATAATCTAATAATTATTTACTTTCAACATCCAATTTGAACTTATATAGACATAAAGAAGCTTTACAGTTTCTCTATCTGTGAATAAATTGCTCAAAAATTCCCTGGAGCCATGATTTTCCATTAAGCTAGATTGCTTAACTTGGGACCTTTTCATTGTATGTCTTTTATAGGAAGTCAGGGTATTCCAAACTATATTCATTTGCAGAGCCCCGCCCTCCCCTTCTTCCTCCCCAATTTTTCCACATCAGTCTTTCTCCCCTGTAAAATATATCAAACGTCTCATGTATAGCTCTGGAATATTTATCACTTGCCAGGAGTACTGGAACTGAATGTCCTAAATCAGACAATCAGGATGGTGTTTTGATACTAAAGCGATAAGTTGATTGTCGTGTGAATCTGTAGTGTATGAGGTCTTATTTTGTCCCTCATTGCAATTATTGAGCTGTGTATACTTTAAAATTATCTTGTTCTTTACCATGTGCCTGTCTGTTACTGTAATTGTGACTTCTCGTAATTCTTGGCCACGCAGAGGCAATCAGACAGGAAACCACTGGTACTGGTTTTATAAAAGATCATGGTCCAGGTAATGTTGGAAGGTGATCGACATTTAGCGCTGTGACAGCAACCACCAATATGCTGCTATCAGAGTAGGAAATCCAGAAGAAATTGGCAACTTGACACAAAACCTTGAACAGAGGGTGGTTGATGATCTCTGTACAAAAGCAATTTTGTTGATATCACAAATATTCATGCAGGAGTTATAACAATTGGTTTCTTATGACAGATTATTCTGCTCTCATATAATTTAGTTGTTGAAAACCAAGGTGGCAAATTTTCAAATGCCACATTCAGTATTGGACTCATTCCCTAAAAATATTGTTGCTCCTCCAGTTCCCTAGACTTGGCAATGGCATGAATCTCGTGCATTGATTTCTACGAAGACAAAATGCCAAGTTGGACCTATGTAGTTAGCAATTATTCCTCAACAACTCCAAACCAATACACCCCCTCCCACGCAGACAAACACTGAGACATATACAAAAGCCAAAAAAAAAACAAAAAAAATGTGAGATAACACATTTGTTTTCATTGGGTAAGCTCATGTACAACACCATCTCAGTATTTCACTGTATCTGTCAAATCCATTGATGTTTGTAACAATTGACTGTGTCTACTTATTCGAATTCAAACAACTAAAAAGTCCCAAAAGGACCAACTCATCTCTTCACGGGTTGTGGAAAGATTCAATTCAATCATTCCCACATATCACCAATACTGCTAGTTCATCCCACGTTAATAAATAAACACTTCTCTGTATCATCTCTGCTTGCTTTTGCTCCACCCTCCTATAACATTTTCCGGTCACCCTCCCAAGACTTATTTCAGAGGCAAATAATTTCCTACCCACAAATAGTCACACTGGCTTCTCATTTCATTCACCAATAATCACCACAAGAACACACACCATCTTCAAAACGATGGTAGCGATTGACATCTCTGATTACAATTTGCCGTTGTGTAATTTTTGAGATGAACTTGATTGCAACATGGCAGTCCTCACAGACACGCAGGTTCTTAGTTATCAAAAGCTTGGTCCCTGGGGGTGTACTTATAAGTCCAAATGCAATTGCTAGCCTTTCGCTGTGGCCACGAACCATTCGAGTCTTCTCATCATCCTCCACATCATGGAAAACAGGCGCAGTATTAGGGACATAGCCTGCCTCGGCCATTAACCCTCCCACCTTTTCTAACTCTGCATATATCTCATCAGACATAGGATGAGAAGTATCTCCAGAAAGAAATGCATGGACGTTGTTTTTCACTTCAATCCAACTACAAGCAATGCTTTTCTTTAGCCCCTTTTCTGTCATTAGTTTTCTAAGCTTTGCCACTCCTTCCCACTTCCCTGCTTGAGCATAAATGTTTGATAAAATCACATAATTGCCTGCATCATCAGGTTCAAGTTCAATCAGCCTATCTAATGCCAGCTCCCCCAACTCTACATTTCCATGGATTTTGCAGGAGTTCAGCAAAGCACCCCAGACACCAGAATCCGGCACCACATTCATCTGCATTATGAGATTATAGGCATCATCCAATCGTTTACAATGGCCAAGGAGATCAACCATACATGTATAATGTTGAACAGTTGGTTCTATATGGTAATCTCTTGTCATTTTTACGAAGAATTTTCGTCCCGCATCCAACAAACCCCCATGGTTGCAAGCTGATAGAACACCAACAAAGGTTATATGATCAGGCGATGCTTCTCCAATCATCCTTTCAAATAAACTGAGTGCTTCCATAGCATGACCATGCATTGCGTATCCAGTGATCATAGCATTCCAAGAAACAACTCTTTTCTCCACAAGCCGCTCAAACAAATTCCTTGCCACATTTACAGAACCACTCTTGGCATACATATCAACCAAGGCAGTTTTCACCTTATCTTGACTTTGAAACCCTTGTCTCCAACTGAAGCCATGAAGCTCCCTTCCGGGCGGAAGAGCGGCAATATCAGCAGAAGCTGAAATGGCAGTGACAAGAGTGGCTTCAGTCGGTCTTAAACCAGCGTACACCATCTCACCACAAAGAGATAAGCATTCCTCTGGGTTCCCATTTTGGGAATAAGCAGCAAGCATAGAATTCCATAACACAACATCTCTATCTATTATCTTATCGAACACTTGACGAGAATTACCAACACAACCACACTTTGCATACATATCAATCAATGCAGCTCCAACAAAGACATCTCTTTCCCACCCAGTCCTTATCACTTGCTCATGAATGTCCCTTCCCATGTCAATCGCAGAGAGGGCCGAACATGCCTTGAGGACAAATGGAAACGTAAAATTATCGGGTACATGACCATAATCAATCATCTGATAGTAAAGAGAAACTGCAGCCTCATAAGGCCCATTCCACGCATAACCACGAATCAAAACATTCCAAAGAAAGATATTGTCTTTGGGAATCCTATCAAACAGAAGGTGGGCATTGGATACAAAATCACACACACAATATAAATTGACGAGTTTGGTGGCCAAATTGAGACTGTATCCGAGGCCAGTGAGGCAGAGATGAGCATGAAGCTGTCTACCGGGCTCAACAGCTTTCCGAGCGATACAAGATTGGAGGACAGAGGCGTAATATTTGGTTGGGTTGGCGCGTAGTTTAGGAGAAGAAGTAAGTGTAGTGTGTTTGGTTGATGCAATTGAGTGATATGGGGATTGAATATTGTATTGAATTGTTGATGAAGAATCAAAGAAGGCTGTGTTGTTGAGAAGAGATGAACTTAATATTTGATGGGAAAGAGAGGGTCTCTTTGTTTTTCTTGTGGTTTGAAGGAGCATCTGAAGGTGGTGGTGACAATAATGACTAGTGGCGGGAAAAACTGGAGCTTAAGGTTGCCCAAGCCTAGCACTTGACACCCCTCCACTCTCCAGTAAACATAGCTAGATTTTGCGAGTACCGGTGCTTCAATTACTCCTCAGGACCCCCTATAGAGTGTGTGTGTGTCTGAGAGAGAGAGAGAGATTTGGGTAATAAGGAGAATTGAAGTTCCAATCCTTAATCATGTTATTTCCCATGTTCTTTGTGGTTTTTTTGGCCATTGCAGGATGACAATTGTCCGATTAGAAAGGTTTCAAAATTATGATATAACCTAGGTTGCCTGCTGCGGGGGGAGGGGAGTTGTGAAGATGATTATTTTTACAAACCCAACACGATTAATAAATAAATCGAATATAAATAAAATTAAGTCATATAAGTTGGTTGATTCGTGTCTTTGTGGCCCAATTGCCCATGGATAAAGGGCCGACCCATAAAACTAGCCCCGATAAAAAAAACTTAAATAATTTTCAAATTTGAGAATAAATGAAGAAGCAGAAAATTTCCATTTTGTCCTCCAACAAGAGCCATAGGTGGACGACTTTTCCTTTATTAATCAAACATATTTATCCACATTCTACCAAAAAAATAAAAGTGAAAAAGAAAAGAGAACAACTGAAATGTGTAAACCTTCCTTAACCTTGAGTTGGAGATAATAAGAACAAGGGATCATACGTTCTTTGTTATGATACGTAGCATACATCTCATAGATAACTTATCATTACAACCTCAATTACATTGGCTTCTTATTAGCTGCACATTACTGTCCCAGAATATCAGAGATTGACTTGTTAATGGTTCCAAACAGCTCTTCCCTGCCAAGCACAAGAAACAGGCAACATCGATTATTCTAATGTATGACGAATATTAAAAAACCAGACTGATCGACAGCAACACTATCATGTTCCAAGTTAGAGGCAAGTCTAGGCCACAGACTGTGAGCGACGAGAGGGAAACTGATTCCCAATAACACAGAGGCTTGAGTTACTACTACTAAATATACAAGTCTGAGGGTAACTGAGAGGTCACACCGACAATGTCTTCCCTTATTATTACAATGCTTGAGTTTAATTGAGAGAGCAATTCTTCATGAACTTATGCATCACTTTACTTGTTATAATGCAATGAAGATATTTCTGCAGAAAGTTTCTTACCTATCAGGTTTGAATAACAGATATCGGTATATAAACCACTGAAACAGAGAGAATTCAAGATTAGTATATGAACAGGAGGGAATCTGAAATCTTGCTTGATTTTTGGGCATGAAAATGTCGTGGTAAGATTTCAAAGTTTTCTGTTTTTACCCGAGTCTATCGAGCAATTGTCTAGACTCTAGAGCATATATAAGTCATTATACTTACAGAAGAAAACAATATCCCGACAAATTCAAGAGCACTTGGGATAAGAGGCAGCTTGTCGATGGCCTATTCATACATTTAAGGAATACAAATAAGAATGCTAAAAGCAGTAAGATAAGGCATGACATGTAAACAATATAACTAAAAGACTAGCAAATGGGATATGCTAATAGCAGCACTTTTAAGTGTTAAGACTGAACCTTACTAATTTACCGCTGCTTTTGGTCCAATCTTAGAGGTCAGATTTTTCCACAATAATACTAGATTAAACAGGACAGAATTTACCAGCAGATATTGCACATATTGATTATTACAAATTCATTCAAGGAAACATCAAAAGATAAGGAGGAGATGCCCAAAGAGCTGTGGCAGTTACTGTGATCAAGTTTGCAGATGCCCAAAGAGCCACAACAGCTGCAAATCCCAACCCAATAAGGGCAAACCGATCTTCAGATTTATCCCACTGTTCAAAAACATTAAACGCAAATCAGGAAGCAGTAATATGTGTATACGAAAAGATATACAGACTTGGCTTTCCCAACTAATAAGCAAAACTGTTGCGGAATATTATAAAAAATGGAAATCGAACAAGAAAAAAATCACACAAAGAAATTTCAAGTTTGCTGCCTGGGTATCTCGGATTTCAAGGAAAACTTAAACTGCTTGTGTTTGTAGTTTACAACTGAAGAAGATGACTACTCTGCAAGACCATCAAACAGACAAAGCAAGCAAACACGAAGCTGGTGAAGAAGGAATGAGGAAAGAATACCATAGTCAACCAATATACCTAGCTTTCCAAATTGTGCCAGACAGTTCCATTTAGGGTTATATTTTTAGTGAAAAATGGAAATGAGAGGATCATGACAATAAGGGGGAGAAAGGGAGATCACTCACAATATTTTGCACAGACTTAACAATACTCAGGGAAGTTGATGATTCGGGGCTTTCACCTGTAGCCTTTGCAACAACAGCAACACGACCCTGACTTTCTGTAATAAAATTCATAATGATCACAAGAACAACTACTGTCACAAGGAAAACTACACTCAATTGATTAAATGAATAATGATCCGCTAAAGCTCAATCACTGGAAAAATTAGGACAGCCCCAACCTCCAATATTAAGGCACATATACAATTACTGGATTTACACAGAAACCAACCTCATGCTGACTTTTCATGCCTAAGTGGCATTTCGTGGTTTCTATTCCTTAAAATCAGCTAACAGGATCGTTATACTCTTTCCAGAGATCAAACTTCATACAAATCAGAAACAATGGTTTCATATCTAAACTTCACAAGTTCATTCAATTTCAACAGTAATCATTGTCAACCAGATTTCGAAGTCTTAAGCTTATGCACAAGCATCTAAACTTATTTCACTTAGAACAAATATTTATGGTTTTTAATTAACAAATTCACATCTATTTTCTTTTTTGGCAACGGTCCAATGGTTTCTAATTTCACAAGCTCACAGCCAAGTTTTACAAATATTCCCATAATTATCACATTTCCATCTCATTTTTGAGCTGAATGACAAAACTCATAGAAATGGCTTACTTCCCAGAGATATCCTCACTTTGCTGACTTCAATTCTATTTAAATTCCTTGTCAAATCAATAATTCACCAACAAATATCCAACTACAAAATCGTATTAAAACACAAACCAAATTAAGATTTCAATGGTTACAACTCCAATACTTACTCTAATTTCATCTGTCATAATAAAATGCGAAACAGAATCTTTTGAAAGCAAGAGAATTCTACAGACTTCCAAATAACAATTGAAAAGTAATTTTTAATGCTTCATAGTGAGATGGATAAAAAACTTACCTCCAATGGCAGAGACTAGAAACTTCCCCAGATTTCCCAAAAGGGGTTGCCTTTTACTCACAAACAGTGGAGGAGGAGGAGGAGGTAGCTTTGCAAATATTGAAGCCATATTTACCTGAAAAAAGAAATTCTGAGAGAAAAATCTCATTTTGGAAATGGGTCTAGAACTTAAAAAGACAAGGACCCAAAAAAGTTTCAGATCAAAGACTGCTAAAAACATCGATTTTGATTGATAGGTGCTTGTGAGAAATTGAGTTTGTTTACCTCGTTGAAGGCTTGAAGCTGAGACTTGAGAGAAAACTACAGGCGCAGTTAACTATTGAGCACCACAAACACTATTGGGTAGTGAACTACAAACACATACACCATCGGTCCGACGAACTTTCTTAACAAAAAAATTAACTTGATTATGATGTGATTACCCAAAAAAATTATTTAATTAATTTACATGATTGGGTCTTATTAAAAAATTTATGGAATTCACTAGTCCAATCATAAAATTTTTAAAAGCATTTTATAATACTTTTTGAATAATTTGAGATTTTTTTTTTTTGCACCGACTCTTTTACCGACTTCAGCAGTTTTTATTTTTTTGAAAAGAATTTTGAGCAAATTGAGTATGGGGTCCAGTTATCTTTTAGCTATTTGTTTGATTGGTTATATCGTTGGATTATTTTTCTGAGTTTTGATTTATGGCCCATTTTTTTGATTAATTTCCTCCAACGATGTTCATTGGATCCAAATAAAGTGACCACGTGATTGTGGTCCCGTGGACTTCAATAAATGGCAAAATATACTTAAACGATTCGTTTATTTGTCGTATTAAGAAAAAAAAATTAATTAAATTAGTAATCTCATATAAATAAATTAGTTATTGCATGTATCTGAAGGTATAAAAAATAATAAACAATAAATATATTTGTATTCATATCTAAAATTAAATCACAAATATAACGAAAAGATAAAGAATTTTAAATATCGATTTACAGTGAGAATAAGAGATAGTAGGCGGTAGTGGTGGTGGTAGGAAACAATAATAATTGTAGTGGCAGCGACAGCGATGGTGGTGGTGATGGCGACAGAGGTGGTGGTAGTGGTGGGGGCGACGGCAAAGACGACGTTGGTGGTGGTGGTGGCGGTGGCGATAGTCGAGGTAGTGATGGAGCGTTTCAAAATAATATATTTTTTTAACCTATTTATGAGAAATAATTCCTAAAAGCACTTTTAAAAATTTATTCCAAATATACTTTTATGGGTTTATTTTTTCCTATTAAATTTGGAATTTTAATATTAGTCGTTAGATTAATTTTAAAGTAAAATTTAAAGCGATCTCAACCGCGAATAACAAAAGTTATTTTATTTTTTGAGATTTGAATTGTAAGTTACTTTATTATATAAATAAAATATAACATTAAATGAGAGATAAAAATACCGTTCATTTGTTGACTTAATGGTGTGATAGTGACGTGATTCAATAGTATTATAGTGATTGTTTAGTTTATACGCATATCAACTAATTATCTCATCCGTTTGGTTAAAAGTAAGTCATTCACGTAAGGACTAATGTATTTATGAGGGATAAATCTCTCATGATCTGACACTAAGAGGGTATCAATATTCAAACTCAAGACGTTTGAATTTACAGTTCGTCTCTGTTACCATTTGAACTACCTAATTAAGGGTTAAGAACATTTTATATAATTATTGAACTTTTTCTTTAGAATTCTATTACTTAATGTATTATTATGTCAATAAATTAGATCATTTTTAAGATTCTAATAACATTACTCAGATTTTAGGCTTACCCATAGTGAGATTGTTGAATTTGAATATTGAACTTTGAGAAAGTGCCTCGTCTATAGGTGGAAGTTCCAATTTTGTATTCAAGATGCCATGGATAACTCACATAATTCCAATAGAAATTACAGTTGATGATCCCAAACTAGTTACATCTAGCTAGTTAGATCAGAATATTAGGTCAACTTTTTTGATCAGAATAATATTAGTTTTTATTTTTTATCGCCTTAGTTCCCCGTTTTAATCATTGTAAAGTCTTGTTCCTCAATGATTTCTCCAAAATATTTTCACACACATTTCTTTGTGGCAAACAAGAATATTTGATTGAACCCGAGCTATTTGCATTGCATATGCTAAAGAGAGATGAGATGATGTAAAGCAGGCTACATAGGAGTAGGGAGGCAATAAGCTACTAGGGACAAAAAAATAATAATGTTAATAAGTTGATAATAAAATCTCTAGTGATTATAAGGAAGAGTTGTAAATTCAGACGTCATGAATTCGAATTTTAGTAATCTCTTAGTATCAAACCATAGTAGATTTATTTCTTATGAATTTTCTAATCCCGATGTACATAATCTGTTTTTCATCGGACCGAAGAAAGGTCTAGTCGAAGTGCGTGTAAATTAGCACAGTCATCCCAGGTCATAAAAAAAAAAAAGTTGATGGTAAGGTATATATGTTGTCTGGTGTGTTGACAAATCTGATGCTTTTTTTTCCTTCTCATCTTCCTAATTCCTATCTAATCAGTGTTGTTTATGTGCAAGAGAAACTTCAAAGTTCTTAATTAGCTCAATAACTAAGAATGGACAAATGGTGGTGGTGGATCTCTCTCTCTCTCTCTCTCTGATATATTTTTGTATGATCTGGTATATATGAGAGCACTTGGCATTCATGAATGAGTGACAGAAAAGTGCAGATACTCAAATCGGGTTAAGAAAATTTCATCCACATAGTTTGATGAACATGTTTTCCATTTCGTTAATTTTAACATCGCAATCAAATTTGTTTGGTGACATTGCTTTTTACCAGACTGCCAAAACCACCATATTTGTCCCATCTACTCTTCAACAACTGCCTCTCAACACACGAATGGGATTTTAGAAACCGGTTAATTAAGCAATGCATAGTTATAAGCCCACACCCACATGGGCTAGGGAAGAGTTCTAACAAGGCACGAGATATATAAAGTCCCGTAAGTTTGAACATTCTGTCTAATAAAATTTATTTTTAATTACTGAGCGTGATTTGTGGGTTTCTGGGTGTTTAAGTAATTTTTGTTGCAATCGTGAATTTAAAAGACATGTGGTAATTATACTTTTCAAAGAAAAAAAAATTATATAATTATAGCGTTCATATTTGACTCATTGAAGCGAGGATTATCTTTCAACTTGTCATTGGGCTTGATGGATAAAGTGCTTGACAGTTGGATGTGAGTCACATCTTGTAGCTCGTATTGCAAGTAATGCTACCTCAATGGAAAATTTTGAATACGTAATTACGTATATATATGTGTACATTTTATTATATGCATATTCATGATGGATATTCTAATGTGAATCAATTCCATGTGCTTCTCTTCACTTTGTTTTACTTTATGTATACACATTCAATTTACTTAAAGTGATTGATATAGTCTATTATCTTTCTTACCCTTTTTCCCTTTTCTCTTTTGTTCTTTGCAATCTTTCCCCCCTTTTCACTTTGACGCCTTGCATACTATTTTTGTATATTTACTTTTTTTTTTGATCAAAATTGTATGTTTACTTGAATTTACACCTTTTCCTATCTTTCCATGTCTTTCCCAAGGCTGTGCTTAAATGTTTTTGTTCCATCTTATGGGGCCCCTTTGCTTTACTCACAAGAAACCATAAAAAAATACTTGAAAATAAAGCAATCAAGATATTTCTTCTTGTTAAAATTATTCAGATTCTTCTTCTTTGGTTCGACGGTTAGGGATTTTTTTTCTTCAATTTCTAAATTTTTAGAGGCCACGCCTTTATATTTTTGTTCTCATGCTATAATCTTTGTTGTACTATTATCATTTTATGTGAATACTCGCAAAATATTTATAGATTCGCCCGAGTAAGTTTGTTTTATTATGCAAATTCAGTGGCCAAGGTCATGTACTTTGGTCTTCAAGCTAAATTCTTATATTTAAATAACTTTTTAAAACGATCACTCGCGCATTAGGTATACTAAAGGTTAATATAAATTTAATTGAAAAAATAGGAAACAAATGATATAGTGCGCATGTGGTGATACTTTTCATCCTACTTTTTTTTTTATAATTATAAAATTCAAATTTTATTCATTAATTCAGCACCACATTATTTGTTTTGTTTTTTTTTTTAAATTTGATCATATTTGTTAGCGGTGTAACATCACTTATGTTAAATCCTTTGTGTGCCTCAATTGTGATTTTCTTGTGAACTTTGGGACCCACCACCATTGGATCTTATTTGTTGATTTGTTATCCAAATCCTTTTTTAGTGAGGTGTCACTATCACCTATTAATGTGGGAGGCATATATATATATATATATATATATTATAAAATAAGATAAATTTCGATAAATTTATCTGATGGTTTCAAATAGACTCATCTAACGATTCCTAATATCTCTCAAAATCATTCATATTAAATTCATGCCCTCTCAAATTTATCATTTTTTTCTTAGGTTGTACCGTATTTTCAAGTATGAATTACTCCTCTATATATATATATATAACCCGTTAGGACTCTGTGGTGTAGTATTGATTGCTGCGTACAAACCCAATAATGTCACATTATATGGAAGGGGAAATATGAGTAATTGAGTCCATACAATAATAGTTTTGCATATGTATATTGAACCATATTTAAATATAGCATTGGAAAAATAATTTTTTAAGTTCCTTAATAAAATTTCATTTAGTCACAAATTTAAACTTGAATAATTTTAATTATTGAAAAAAAAAAGGATTGTATGAGTGTCGCATCAATGTATGTTAAGAAGAAGAAGAAGAAATACAAGGCTAAAAAGTGTGCTTTTCGTGTGTCCTATTGTTACCCAAAACTAATATGGAAAACTTGGCAAATTCATTAATAATCGAAATAGGACCACATGATGGATGACTTCTCTTCCCTGCCCCTTAACCATGCATAAAGTTTTAAGGTTCATATCTATCCCAATGTTCCTTCCATCCCCACCTACAACCACCCTTAACCATGTACACGTCCCACTAGGGGTGGTGTAGGACGGGCTCTCTGTTTTAAATTGTACCTTTGTCATCCCTATAACGATGTTTGTGTGGTTCTAATTCCCTAGGGAAGGAGATGCTGAATTGATGTGTGTGAGTGAGAGAGAGAGAGAGAGAGAGAGAGAGAGAGAGAGAGAGGGAATTCAATAACTTGGTAAGGGACAACAGAATGAAAAGACTCCATTCCCCTCTTTAAAATCTGCATTACCTCGTTGGAAAGCAATGGCATTCATGGATGAATAATACTACATAAAAGTGTACATGTTTAGAAGGCTCCACCACATAATTGCTTGACCATTTTTGTTCCATTTCAATAACATCAATCTAATTGTGCAATTGCATCGTTTGTGGCATAATAATATTCACACGATGTGATAACACGAAACGAATTTGACGCGATATATAAAAATACTAGAATTAATTAAAAAGAATAGTAGAATGATCGTGTTAATATCAAGCATAAATAACATGATTTGACATGATAAATCCGTTTAGCAAATATTTTACCCTTTTTTTTTTTAATTTTCTTCCACGAATTGTTTTATGATTAATTGGGTTTGGATTTGATTTTATAAAATGTGGACCGGGTTGATTTTTAAAGTTATTGAAGAATTATGTAGGGGTGGATATGGTTGAAAGAAAAAAAATAGTTCTTGTCCCATGGTTTAAGAGTTAAATAAAAATAATATGAATACAAAAAATAAAAATAAAACAACCCGAATACATACGATATAAACTAAAGATCACAGAATAACATAATCCGACTCCGTTTAGCTTAACCACCAAAACTACCATTTCAACTACTATTCTACAACTGCCGATCAAAGATGGATACTCGAAAGAAGCCCCATTTTGTTAGAACAGAAAAGGAGATAATCCTCAAAGTTTCTATGGTGTCAAAAGAGATATCGTGTCAAAAATTATAAGTTAAAAATAAGAATTGATTATAAGTTTCTATGGTGTCAAAAGAGATACCATTTTTTTCCAATCATAACCTTAACTTTCTTTATGTTTTTGCTTGGAACCTTATTTTTATTCACTACAGGAATTAGGATATTTTGAGATAATTTTTTTTTTTTTTCGCGGTGGCAGTGTTTACCATAAAAAAAAAATGTGTTTTGGAGAATTTTTTTTTTTGGTGGCTGTAAGTATTAATAAAAAATTTATTTGCTGCTATAAATACTATTTAAGACGATCATTGCTGCCACAAATTTTTTTTTTTTATTATTATTGTAATTTCATCCTACCTTTTATATGTTTTTTATTGTAATTACAAATTATTGATCATGAATTTAAATACGACTCATTTATAAATAAGTTTCAATTTTAACACACATGTAATTAATTCATCATTAAAATAAACTAGAGAGAAAAATAATGTGGTCACATCAAGAACAAATGGCCCCTAGTTTTAAAAAAAAAAAAATTTAAAAACTTCTATTTGAACGAGGAATGAGTTCGTTGGAGGCAAATACATTAATTGCATTCACTTATCTGCGAAGCTTGTAAATAATATATAATATAATAGTGAGTGACACATCAAGATATCTAAAATATATATAAAAAACTATTTGGAAGAGACTACGAGAAGCTGATCATTTGATTCCTGGGCCTTTGTGTGTCGGTTGTGAGTTATGCCTGTACAACTTCACCTCAAGAACAAATTGTTTTACTTTTACCTGTTGGGTAGGCTTGGTTTAGCCAGCCAGTTGCTCACGCCACTCAATTTTATTTTTTATTACAAGACGTTTTAGTTTACGTCGATTACTCACTTAAACTTTGAGTTAATTTTCGTAACTCAAGTTAGCTAGTTTAAGAATATGTTTTTTTGAAGAACATGAGTGAGTGATTGACTCTTAAAGAGTGTAAGAAATATCGAACTTAAGATTTTTTACTTGTAAGAAGACAGACTTGACTATTTGATCATTCATCTCCATATATAAACAATACCTCTCAGTGTTTTAATATACATGAAGATATATCCTTGAATATTTTACAAATGACATGAGATCTCCCTTAATTGTTATTGTTGTCTCCTGTTTTTTCATACTAGAACTAACGATAACAATTATGAATGAATTCTCTTAACGTTTACATGGAGTTATTAATAATTAGTTATATTGATGATGCATTGTTAAAGAGGAATAATAATGTACTTGTGCAGTTGGAGCAATGTTATTGTGTTGATGACGTCTAGTAAGTCACGTGCTTGTATTTGTTTCAATGACATAAAAAAAAGGGTTTATATTAGATCCATAACTCTTCAAAAGAGAGGAATACGATAATCCATGAAGATGAATTAAAGGTACATCAGTTTTTGTAAGAGAGATCATTGGCATATGGACGATGTGGAGTGTTGTGAATTAAAGTTAATGGAATTAATTCTAACCAATATTATTCACATGTGAGTAAAACATTATTAGTAATGCGTACAAAAACTTAATCTCTCGTCAAAAGAATGCTGTAAAAGAATAAATAATAGCATGTGATCGACTTAATACCTTTAAACTTAAGTTTCTAGAATAATTTTGTTGTCCAAAAATGGTATGCTGAACCTCTTGTTAGACTCCGATCGATATTTGCAATACAAATGGCTAAAAGATCTCATTTGGCTTGAGCCACTTGGAAGCCATCTCAAAGCTGTAATAGACAGTTGGACTTATGGTTTCAACTGCAAAAAGTTAGTTGAGTCTAAAATGTTTCAGAATATCTAACGGTCAACTCCTACCAGCCCCCACTCTCTCTTTCTCTGTATGAAACAACAATAGAAGACCATCGCTCTTTGTTTTATATCCTTCAATTAACCCTACCCCACCACTCCCTCTCTTTCTCTCTCTCGCACAGACTCTCCCATAACTATCCCATAAAATAATCCACTCGTCACCTCAAATATCTCAACTACCATGGGCATGGTGGACATGTCGAATCCTCCAACTTCTCGTACCAAAGATTTCTTTGCCTCTCCGGCCCTCTCTCTCAGTCTCGTAATTATCTTCTTACCCTCTTGCTTTTTGATTTATCTGGGTGTTCTATATACATAATCACCATCATTTGAATGCAAACAAACTTTTAAAATCCCATCCTCGTCAAGTTTTTCTCATCATAATCCTTTCTTTCTTTCTTTTGTTCTTGTTCTTGAAGGCCGGGATATTCCGGGATGGCACAGCAGCAGCGGGGACCGTGTCGAACACTGAAGTGGAGGAGGGAGATGAAGGTAGCGGGGGCGGAGGCGGCGGCGCAGCCCGAAGGGAAGAGACTGTGGAGATTAGCAGTGAGACCTCAGGAGCTGCCAGATCGCGATCTGATGATGATTTTGATGTTGAAGGAGAGCATGAGGATGATGAAGACGATAATCAGAAGAAGAAAAAAAAGAGGAAAAAATATCACAGGCACACTGCTGAGCAAATAAGAGAAATGGAAGCGTGAGTTCTTTATTCTTCTGTCTATATCTACTCAATTCAACTCAATAAAATTTTATTTATTTATTTATTTGGGTCGATTACTCTTTGTGCATGTATGTGGAATTAGGAAGGATTCAGAAATACAAGGGAAAATTCATTTATTATACTGAATTTTGTTGTTGGGTTGCCATAGTTATAATGTTGAAATTAATAAATTGATGCATTGGCAATCAATCTATCACTAACTCGGTTTTCATTGAGAAAGGACTCAGTTAAACTCAAATTACTATTAGTGTGTTAAAACAGTATCCATTTAGCAGCTTACAAGATAACTTTATCATGAATCAAGCACGTACAGAGATCACAACTAAAGTATAACTGAAAGAACTTTATAAAAAAATATAATAAAGTTAAAGCTATATAGCATAAAAGTTTCTGATTACTTTTTTTTTTTTTTAAATTTCATACAATATTATGTCAATTAATTATGAATCAGTAAAAACCTGTACCCCCAGACACACATTTTCTTTTTCTCTCCCCTCCCATATGTATATATCTTTACTGTTTCATATACTTTATGATGGAATTTAGGCTTCATTGAATACCAAAAAATGTTTGCTTTGTATAAACACATTTGTAGGCTATTCAAAGAGTCACCTCATCCAGATGAGAAGCAAAGGCAACAACTGAGCAAGCAATTAGGCCTTCATCCAAGGCAAGTAAAGTTTTGGTTCCAAAATCGTCGAACCCACATCAAGGTAACATTATTTTCTCTTCACTTTCTTTCACAACTAATATATATTGCATGTTCATGTATATATATGTATCGCATGTTCATGTAACAAATGTTTCTCAAGCATTAATTGTTTTTTGGGTTCTATTAGTTCTGTTACTCTTATCCGTTGGAGGAATTAGTAGTCGCTTAGAACCCCTTGGAGTAAATCGGATGGTGTTTTAGGGTTACTATCTTAAGCTCTAAAGTTCAACTCTCATAAAAGAACCTTAATTAGTTCATACGCAATGTATATGAGTTAATGCGATTATAATTTATATATTTTCATTGTAGCTATAAGCCCAAACTCGATTCTTCATCATTGAAAAAAAAAATACACACAATAGCCGTCGTCACTTGTAATGCTATTTACATTTCTTGATAGAATGAGGCTACGGCTCTTGCAGGCTATACAGGAGCGCCATGAGAATTCTTTGTTGAAAACAGAAATGGAGAAACTCCGTGATGAAAATAAGACACTAAGGGAGACCATTAAGAAAGCTTGTTGCCCTAACTGTGGGTTTGCTACCTCTGGCAAAGATTCAGCTTCTGCAACTGAGGAACAACAGCTACGTATTGAAAACGCTAGGCTAAAAGCCGAGGTCTACAAAACTAATTAACATAAAATACGAAATGCACTATGTCATGTTCAATGACTATGTAGTATGTTCCCTTACTTAAATTTTTTTATTTATTTTTGGGTGAAAATTTAGGTTGAGAAACTCCGAGCAGCTATCGGAAAATACCCTCCTGGAACATCACCAACTACCTCGTCTTGCTCAGCCGGTGATGATCCAGAAAATAGAAGCTCTTTAGATTTCTACACTGGCATTTTCGGGCTCGAAAAGTCGCGAATTACGGAGATTGTTAATCAAGCAGTGGAAGAGCTCAAAAAGATGGCTACTGCTGGGGAACCACTGTGGATGCGAAGCTTTGAGACTGGTCGCGAGATACTTAATTATGATGAATACATGAAGGAGTTTTCGATCGAAAATTTGAGCAATGGGAGGCCAAAGAGATCCATTGAGGCCTCGAGAGAGACTGGAATTGTGTTTTTGGATCTCCCACGTCTACTTCAAAGTTTCATGGATGTGGTAAGATCAAGAATCTTAGAACCTTCATGTTCACGAAAATTGTTCTTTTCATCTTCTTTTGGATTGCATAATACATTAACCATAGCAGAAGCGACTTGCATGAATCATATTATCCTAAAGATCTTGAAATGCTTTTGATCAATGGACCTTTGGTGAAAAAATTGCTATTCTTGTAGAACCAATGGAAAGAAATGTTTCCATGCATGATTTCAAAGGCAGCTACTGTTGATGTTATTTCCAATGGGGAAGGTGCTAACAGAAATGGTGCCATTCAATTAGTGAGTAGCTTCAAAATCTCTATTTTTGTTCATGTTATGTGGTTTTTATCAAAGCATGTGGCCCATTACTTGCACTGTTACACTTCTATGTTAGTCATGCGGTGTGGTTACAACTCCAATAGCCTGAAAATTTTGAAATATGGTCCTAGAATTCTCCACTTTTTCTCGGTTTCTTACGTTCTATTACAGTGAAGAATCAACTATTAAAGCGATGAATAGAATCCTGAAAGCCGGACATTTTAATTTGTTGGTTGCAGATGTTTGCAGAGCTGCAAATGCTCACACCCATGGTTGCTACAAGGGAAGTGTATTTCGTCCGGTTTTGCAAGCAACTAAGTGCCGATCAGTGGGCAATTGTCGATGTCTCTATTGACAAAGTTGAAGATAATATTGATGCGTCCCTCATCAAATGTAGAAAACGTCCATCAGGTTGCATTATTGAGGATAAATCCAACGGGCATTGCAAGGTGAAAATATACATTTGAAAGCTAAAAACTGCAGTGTTCTTATTTCTCATAATCTCTCGCTTTATGGGTGCTTTCAGGTGATTTGGGTCGAACACTTGGAGTGCCAAAAAGGCACAGTTCACTCCATGTATCGTGCAATTGTTAATAGCGGTCTAGCCTTTGGTGCAAGGCACTGGGTGGCGACATTGCAGCTACAATGCGAGCGGCTTGTGTTCTTCATGGCAACCAATGTTCCCACAAAGGATTCAAGTGGTAAGCTATAATTTCCTTTTTGTGTTTTTAGGTTGAATTTTAGTCTGTCATTAGGGTTAGTAAATGGTCCGAGTAGCTTGAGCTAAATCAATTTTGACTCATTAAAGTTTGAAAAAAAAAAAAAAATTAGATATCCACGTTCCTCTTGTACACAACACGAGTATGTTGTGTATAAACGATTCTAATTTTTTACAAATAACTCCTATTTGAAAGACAACACAAGTTAATTATAATGATAGTTCAAGTGGTAATAGAGACAAGTTGTAAATCTAGATGTTTTGAATTTGAACTTTGACAACATTTTAGGGTTAGGCTATAAGGGAATTATTTCTTATGAATAATCTCTAGTTTTGGTGTGGATGACCTGCATTTGACTGAACCGTGAAAGAGGTTAGTCGAGATACGCGTAAACTGGCTAGAACACCCCTGACCATCGAAGAAAAAAAGGTAAACAACCTCAAACTTATATTTTAATAGCTCAAGACCATAAATTAAATACTACATTCTAATAAATAATATTTAAAAATTTTAGCTGAAAAATCAAGGTCCCTTTCTACTTGCATGCTCATAATGCTCTAAAAAATAAAGCTTGAGGAAGAATATAAGCTCCGCAATTGAGTTTGAGCTCGGCTAGTAAGAACCAACAGAATTGGAGCATATTTAAGTTCGATAAGTTCAACTCAATTAACACTCTTACTATAGTCATAACCGATTCTATGGATTGAGGTCATGTGGAGCGTTTTGCCACTGATCTCGATTTGAAGCTAGATGAGGACACCAATTTACTGACAAAAAAGTTTTTTCCTCGGGTTAAAATCTTATTTGGCTTATTGAGGGTGGTGGTATAGTACACGGCGAAAGTTGACTTCTCTACCCAGTTTCCTCGATCCTTTGGCCATGTGTTTTAGGCCGGATCTAAAAGACCAATTCTCAAAATTTTGTAAATATGGTCTACAGACTACCGCTTGATTGTGTGTATTATTCAATCAGGTGTTGCAACGCTGGCGGGTAGGAAAAGCATTCTGAAACTGGCGCAAAGAATGACATGGGGGATTTGTCGCGCCATCGCAGCGTCAAGCTACCATACATGGAACAAGGTCCCCAGTAAAAATGGAGATGACATTAGAGTTGCTTCTAGGAAGAACTTAAATGACCCTGGAGAACCTCTTGGGGTCATATTGTGTGCAGTTTCATCTCTATGGTTGCCTGTTTCTCACCACGTTTTGTTCGATTTTTTAAGAGATGAAAAGCGTCGAAATGAGGTTTGTCACTACTTCTCTTAATTCATCTCACATTCCAAAGTGTATTAATTTGGAGAAACTGGTTTGATAGCTTGTATTGTCTACATTCCAGTGGGACATTATGTCAAATGGAAGTCCAGTGCAATCTATTGCAAACTTGGCTAAAGGACAGGACCGAGGCAACGCAGTTACTGTCCATGTGAGTTTTTTTTTTCTTTCTTTCTCCTCACTTTTTCAGTATGGTACCGATAATTACCACCTAAATTGCTAAATCGACATACAAGAAAATTCTATCATGGGTTCGAATCCCATTTCCTGCGGCACAGAAATGAAAGGGGCTGATGAAATTATGTGAAAGAAAGAACTTCTTGGTGGAATCCAGTCCCCGAAGAACAAAATAACACTACTTGTATGTGATTTACAAAAAAGAGAAATGTTGTGTAGACTTGAAAAACCGATTTCATCAGTCAGCGTCATTGATTTAGCTGTGAGTCCCATCATTTATTAGGACTTATTATCTATTCAATGGTTGTGATTCATTAAGTCAACAAATCATGTCAACTTTTTAAGTATAAATAGAATTACTTCACAAAAAAATGTTTCATTTTTATGTCCTATATAGAGCAAAAACTGCAACCCTTTCCTTTTTTTTGTGTGTGTTGGGAGGTTTTTTTTTTTTTTTTTTTTTGGGGGGGAATGGTTCTCTACCAGGCAACTCTGCTTCTAAGTTCCAACATGTATTTCCTGAAATTCAGACCATGAAATCCGAGGAAAACAATATGTGGGTTCTCCAAGATAGCTGCACAAATGCATACGAATCCATGGTGGTCTATGCTCCTGTTGACATCAGTGGCATGCAATCAGTGATGACAGGTTGTGACTCGAGCAATGTAGCCATCTTACCTTCTGGTTTCTCAATTCTCCCTGATGGGGTCGAATCGAGGCCGCTGGTGATTACTTCTTCTAGGCCGGAGGAGAAGAGCACAGAAGGAGCATCGTTACTCACCATTGCCTTCCAAATCCTCACAAGTAACTCTCCCACAGCCAAACTTAGTATGGAGTCGGTGGAGTCCGTTAGTACCCTTATTTCATGTACAATACGCAAGATCAAGACAAGCTTACAGTGTGAAGATGGATGACTAATAATATTTTCTTTGGTGACTAGATAACTCATGATTAATTGTATAGATTATAGAAGTCAAACGTTTCTGTTTCCCACATGATTTTTTTCAGTTGCGAAGCAGGAAGTATCTAGTTGTAGGAATTTTAAGAATTCATATGTTGTGGCCTCGTATTTTGTGGGCATGGATTGTAGAAAATGACACATTGTTTTCTTTCTTTTTGTTATTTGATTAAGTATTATTTTAGTTACTCGATCTCTCTGCACTCCTAACTACGAAACAAACTCACAAAATCTACTTAGTGCGTGCTCTAAATAGAGAATCTTTACTTGTTTATGACACGTTTCTTATCTAGATTTTCATGTAATGTATTCCTTGTACCGTTTCAAGTCTCTAATGTTAAATTTCACTGGCATTCGCGAATGTTGATTAGTTACTCTGAAAAACCCTTTGAATTCGAGAAGTAACATGAAGATCCCATCACAGGCATAGCTTCTTTTCAAGGTTATCCTTGGATCATGTGTGAGGTCTCCTTCTAGTGCATGTTTCAAAGAGAGAATCTTTAGTGATTTACCACATAGTTCTTGTCTAGATTTTTCTTTAATGTACTACTTGTACTATTTCAAGGTATTGCATTGGGTAAATTTCATTGACATACCCGAATGTTGATTAATTAAAATGAAAATCCCTTTAAATCCGAGAAATAGCATGAAGATCCTTATCATAGGCTTAACTTCTTCTCTAAAAGCATCTCCAACCACACTCAACAAAATAGCTACTCAAAATATATTTAAATATTTAATTCACTATTTTAGCTAGCTACTTTTTAAAATGCATTTCAATCACGCTCTCTATTTTAGCTAACTATTTCAATTAACTTTTAATAATATAATTCAAAAATGTCATGTGACATAACACGTAAGTGCCATCATGATGACGTGTCGTACCACTAGCAGGGAGTTCNCGCTCTCTATTTTAGCTAACTATTTCAATTAACTTTAACTAACTTTTAATAATATAATTCAAAAATGTCACGTGACATAACACGTAAGTGCCATCATGATGACGTGTCGTACCACTAGCAGGGAGTTCGGACCATTTTCCCTTGATTCTGGATACTGAACTGAGCAATGAGAGACATAAAAGATCCTTTGGGTTCGAGGATTATTGGGCTGATGAGNTCGGACCATTTTCCCTTGATTCTGGATACTGAACTGAGCAATGAGAGACATAAAAGATCCTTTGGGTTCGAGGATTATTGGGCTGATGAGGAACAATGATCTGAGGTAGTTAAACATAGCTGGGAAAATTCTGTGGAGGGATCCAAAATGTACAAGTTAGAGCGAAAGCTGAAGAACTGTTGGAGAGACCTCAAGAGATGGAGCTTAAGCTATTTTTCTAACAACAAGAAGCCAGTGGAAAAGGTGAAAACAAAACTTATGGAGCTACAAAACCAAAGCTCCCTTTCTCTAGCTCAAGAGGAGGCAAAGAGAAAATAGGCAGAATTTGGCACAGAGAAGAGAAGCATTGGGGACAGAGGCCAAAATTTTTACTGAAATGAGTTCAATATTCACAATATAATTAACGAAAAATAGGTATTGAAGTAAAATCGTTAGCGTAAAACCAAAACAATCACTACCTGAGAGTGTAGAGAGACAGTGTGAGAGAGACGAGTGATGAAATACCTGTCGAGTGAAGGAAATTAAAGTGTGCATTGAGGCAAAATCTTAAACCCTTCTTGATTGACGATGTTGGCCACGAACAGCGATCGACGATGGTGGTGGGGAATCTGGTGACTCCAGGAACGCTCCACCGACGGAGAGAGTCTGAGAGTGCGGGGAGACTCTAAGAGAGACGAGTGAGAGACTGAGACCAAAATTGGCGCAAAACTCTAATGAAAAACAACCCAAAATTGGGGAGAGAGAGCTCTGATGAGAGAAAGCCTTGCTAGCCAGAACTGATGAGTGAGAATGGAGGGAGGCAGATTAGCGAGTAATTTGTTGAGCCGGTTGGAGCCAAATTTTTTAGATTGGCTCAGCAAAATAGCTAAAAGATACCCTTTGTTGAGCCGGTTGGAGTTGCTCTAAGTCATGAAGCTAAGTTGCTAGTGGAACTTTGTTTGAAGCTTGAATTATGCTTCAATCATTTGTTAAGTATAGTAGTCTCAAATAAGGCGTGTAGGCCTGCCCCTTTTTTGAGTAGGTGATTCACTATTGAAGCAAAGAAAAGGCGGGATCAAAAAAGGGGCACTACAAGCCCTCTGCCCCACGCATCTAACCAGCTCACTTATCAGGAGCTTGGCTTTTTCTCTAGGTTATGAAGTTAAGATATTAGCGGAACTTTATTAAACCTTTACTTATCTTGGATCATTTGTTAAGTCTCCTTTTCAATAGTGCAAGGGGTAAAGGTTACCGATTTTTACATACATACTAACACTGCTGCTTCTTAAGAAATGCAACACAGAGACAAGAAGTACTAAAAGCCCAATACATTTAAACTGCATTTGGGCTCAAGATAACTGTATGAACAAGGAATACAACCCCTCCTGCATGCTAAGCCTAGCAAAGTATTTTTTAGCATTCAATTAAGAATTAACGCTCTATTTGGGCAAGTACTAGAAGAAGATTAGCAATCCAGAGGTAACTACAGACTAGTTTCACCAATTTCTCATTGGCAAATCATCAAATACTTAACAGGCAAATACTTCAATAACCATAATTCTATGACAAAACCCACAACTTTTACGCAAAAGAACACACACACAAAAAAAAAAACTCACAAACAAGCAACTCAGTTCACATTTAAAATGAATATCCATCATGTAACAACAAAAGAGTGTTCAATACAATTAAGCTTTAAAAGCCAAGAGAAATCTCACTNCGTAACATAAAAAAAAAATGATCAAGATGGTCATAACAACAAAAGAGTGTTCAATACAATTAAGCTTTAAAAGCCAAGAGAAATCTCACTCTAACTTCGCTGAGACTCCAATGGAAGCCCAAGCTCCTGAGTCACAACCTCCTTCGGCTTTGGCGCATTCCTTCCTATGACCGGAACAGCAACGAAAGTTTTGGTCTTGCTAATGGGTCTACTCTTTTCGAGCTGAACAAAGTCCCCAACTTTGAACTGGTTCCCGGGGTCGTGAGCTTGGTACTTCTTTTTCTTCCTGACTCGTCGCTTGTATTTTGGGTGCGGAGCGAGACGGACAACCTCCACCGCCACGGTCTTGTCGCTGGTGGCGCAGACCACTCGGCCTTGCAGTGATTTCATGGCTCGGATTGGTGGGAGGGAAGAGAGGGGTTGTTGAGAAAAACAGGAAGTGGGTTTGGTGAGTAGAGAAATTGGTGAGGACCCATGAAGGAATTGGGTGGTGAGGTTGAGGGATTTGAATTGGGAGATAGGAAGTTGGAGAAGAGGTGAAGATATGGACATTGTTGTATGCCCCGAGAGTTTGGATAATAGAGGAGTAAGCGTTTTATACTGAGAGTGGAGGGGCGAGGATCCCTTCTTAGGGCTTGTGGGTTTGGGGATTTTGGAATATGGGTGGGAGAATAAACCCGTTAAATATATATTTAGCAAATACAAATACATATTTAGCTTAGCTTTAAAACTCTGTCCGATTTAAGTTTGATCATGAAACTCAAGCTCATGGGTTTCATGAAACCCAAGGGGTGAATTTCATATGTGAGTTAGTGGATTTAACATTCAAATACATTTATACTCTCATATATCCTCTATACCTCAAATATACAAATTGGTTAATGGATACAATAGTCATTTAAATACAAATATATTATTATAATAGTCATATAACTTTGCGTATACCAAACATGAGTATGGACAGTAATAAATATTGAATTTCGTCTTTGAATTTCATGTCTAAGTTTAGAAGAATTTGGACAAACCAATCTAAGTTCCTCCTAAAAAACATACTAACCATACCCTTAGAGAATTAACAGTGTGCTGTATTGATTTTGATGCAAAATGATATTATTTTAATCAATAATATTTTAACTGTTAAAAAATTAACAACGAAAGAGTCGAATCCGTGAGTGGAGACTGTGGATCGGGCATTTGGGGGTGGTTTATGTTTTTTCGCTGATCTTGGGGGTGGTTTGGCTCTCCTCAACTCCTCTCTAGTAATGGAAAAAGCCTATGATCAGAGCACCAATTGGGTCCTTTTTAGTCATGTCATTTCGGCTCTTGAATGGACTATTAATTAATTTTAATTCCATCTACCTCTACAAATTCAAATCCAATCAATTTGAGTCCTAACAAATTAAAACCCAATATCTCCTATTTAACCTTGATTCATAAATCAAATCAAATCAAATCAAGAAATAAAACAATATACAAAATTGAAATTGTTATAGTTTGATGGATCATATTTTGCATTAATAGAGAGGACTCCACATTACATGGGTGTATCATAATAAGATCTATAATTCATCTTATCAACTTTGTTGATTGACCAATTAGAATCAAGCACAATTTTTAATACCTACAAACATACATATCTCAAGAATGTATCAACTCAAGGAGTATAATAATGCTCGGCTCTATCTGGCACCTCATTATTGCTTAGCAAGAGGAATTTCTTGTGTGATCATTGTTATTAGTCGGGCCCGCCACTATAATGTTTTTATACTTTTAATTAAACATGAAAAGATCAACTATGATATTTGACAAGCGCACTGTTTTGATTATCTAGATTATCATTCGTTGATTATAGAATCTTCAAGCTCTACATATATTGATCTTGGTATTCTATCATGAATGAAAAATGCAATGCATTAGGACTCTATACATGCTATTATCAATTCAATTTGGGCTTCATGATTGCCTTGATGACATTTGATAGATCTCAACATATCTATCGTAAACTATATTTCATTAAAGGCAACATGAATATTCTTCGTAACTTTCATTCCTTTCTAATATTACAAAGATATAAAAATTGGGGGCAATTGATGAACCATATTTTACGTCAATGGAAAGGGCCCCACCACATCACATGTGTGTATCATAATAAGACATATAATTCATTTTCTCAATGCAACACAAAACTGTCAGCCTTGTTGATTGATCAATTGAAGTAAAACACAATTTTTAATACCTGTAAAGATACATATCTTAAGAATGTATCAACTCAAGGAGTATGATCTCTTCACACTCATGAATTGGATGATATTCGAAGACTATTATCACACCGTCAACATTTTAGTAATTGTGCAAATTTTTGCCCGCGTAAAGTTAATTTCAAGGAATATGGAAGCTGATTAGCAGTGGAAGGCCCCTGAAATGGAACTATGGTTTTGACTGCTATGTGGAACGAAATATAATATCCGGAAACTTCAAGTGAAACTTTTGGAAACATTTTACAACAGTTTTTAGATAGAAGTAACGCTATTAAAACTTAATTTATTGCCTTACTTCAGTAAAACCAGTAACTTAGTAAAACTAATATTTCTCCAGAATAAAATGTCTCTAAGCATTTGACAAATCACAATTTAAGGACGGTTCACCGTAGATATTACCGCAATATATATATATATATTACAAAACAAACCATATGAGAATAGCGGAGGCCATGATTTTATTAGAGATATGATAAGATTACGAAGAATTTGTAAGCAGAGATATGATAGGATTCAAAGATATCTATCAATATCTAGATGATTTGTTTGAATAAGTAGAGATGATGATAGACATGTGTGATTTGTCTTTATCTTATGTATAATTCTTACCCTATAAATGGGTCGAGTCCGGTATAATTAATTACCTTCTATAATACATATTAAGTCCTTTGATGTAATTAATTTTTTGAACCACGTTATTCTTTGTGTCTTATTTTTTATATCATTCTCCTATCTTCAATATCTATTGTATTCTAAAATTCTACAGATTTTAACTACTGACGAAAGGAAAACTGTGAATTCAGTATTCAAATGTATATATCCAGAGGGAAAAAGGAACAAAAGAACGGAGTTAAAAACTACACACCAATATCTGCTACTTCCACTCTTGGACTAGATCTTCACTGAAACATCCATGGAAGGACAAGTACTTCATGAAGCGGGCAAGGGTAGAGAAATTGTAACAGTACCAAGAAAACATGACACATTGTTAGTCATTATTAAGATCAAATCAAGTCTGTTACTTGCAGTATCTCCAGAGCATTCCAATGGCCAATTGTCTCTCTCTCTCTCTCTCTTTCTCTAGTTATTGCAATGTCTCCATAGAAAGTTCATGGCCAAGAACGATTCTTTTTGGGCATTGATNTTTTTTATCAATGTTACCAATGACTTAAGATAATTATTTACTGTTCAATTATTGATTTAAAATTATTGGCTAAACCTGTTATTTTAGTTGTAAATTTCAATGTTAGATGAAATTTACTTCAATCAAAGAGGTGTATTGAATTATGTCATCAAATTAGATCTAAATAGTATTTTTCATTTTCTTTTCAATTGACCATAGAAGTTCATAAATTTATATTTATTATAATTATGAGTAAAAATTAATTAAACATAAAAGGTTAATAAACGGTTTACATGGAATGAACAAACAAAAAATAAAAGTAGATTAATTAAAACTTCGAATGAGACTAATTATTATCATTTTACAATTAAATGTGATTATTGTTTATCATTTAAAAGAATTACAAATCAATAATATCAATAAATACTTTTTTTCTATATACAAAATGGTAATAACAATTTTTAATTTATTACCCTGTAATTTATTATATTATGACGCTCATTTCTATATGATAATAAAATAATCCTATAATTTAGAAAAATGAATGCGATGTCTAAAAAATATTCGGACATGTCTGTGTCTAAAAATTTAAGAATAATAGTAATTGCATTTAATTCAAAATTTAATTTTATATCTTGAATAAAAAAAAATTCAAAATTTAATTGGTAGGAATTCAATGGTTTGTGACCATTGGATGGATAGTAGACGTTATTAAATGTAGGGGCTAACTATTAAATTTAANCTAAAAAAAAAAATCAAAATTTAATTGGTAGGAATTCAATGGTTTGTGACCATTGGATGGATAGTAGACGTTATTAAATGTAGGGGTTCACTATTAAATTTAATATCATAATGTATTAGTTCCAATAATATTATTTAAAAATTAATTATTATTTAAGTAGTCGTCTATTTTAATCGATATCATAATAATACAATAATAAGATGAACACATTTAAATATGTCTAAATTTTATTTTAAAAAATATATATTTATTGTAAAAAAAATTGAAGGTGGACACAATTAAATATATCTAAATTTTATTTTAAAAAATATGTATCTAATGTCAAAAAAAAAAAAAAATCTCCGGAAGTACTCTCTCTGGTACCCATTATTGTTTATCGTTGATAATTTTTTTGGTTTGGTTTAGTAGTGTATGTTTTGACAATAGTTTATTATTTTCAATTTTTAATGTTCGTGTGGTTTAGTTGTTGATGTATTGTCATTAACTGATTGTTGTTAAATGTTATATGTTAAAAGTGTATTGTTTCTACCTTGATTTAGGTTGGTTTTGTTTAATTTCTAATTTTATGATAAAACTTTGCATAAAATTAAAAATATNATTAGGTTGATTTTGTTTAATTTCTAATTTTATGATAAAATTTTGCATAAAATTAAAAATATTTTTATTAAACACACATAAAATACATAATATCTCTAAGTTTAGTGCTTCTTTTTCAAAGTTTGTTAGTTTAACATTTGACCTTAATAACCGCATATACATCGTCACTACAACACAAAAATCAGTATTCAAATAGACAATATCACCATTTTTGGACATGTAAATTATTTAGTATATCGATTTTTTCAAAACCTTTGGTATAATATTTCATTAAAAATTATTATATACTTACTATNTTATTTATTTTTATTTTCTGTGTCAATTGGCTCTTTCTATCTACTTTGGTTAAAGCACGACAAAGAGACCAAAAATTCAATTAGCATAATTAGAGAGTTAACGAGTTCAACTGATACAAAAAAAATAAAAATTTAGGAACTTAATTGACATAAAAGTCATAGTTTAAAAGTTATATGTGTAATTTATTCCAATCAGAGATATAAAGAAAAGTTTAATCGACACAATTAAAGAATTCAAATTTTCAATTGATATAAAGAAAAAACAAGGATACTTATTTATTTTAACNATACCGATAGTTGATGTTTACTTCTTATTTCTTATCAATTAATGGAGTTTAAATTGTCTTTATAATCCATAAATAAAACCATCAAGTTATTATTTATACCAAAAATAAATCACTACTGTATGAAAACCTATAGTTCTTGAAAAATTAAAAAAAAATTCAAAACCTAAGTTAATCAGCAATTAAAAAAAAGTGACCAATACAAAAAAAATAAGATATCAGTTGCACCAACAAAAAATGTTCAAAACTAATCTAATCGCTATGTATTAAAATTATTTAAACATCATCTCTTTGTGTGTTGAAATATTATAAGTNAAAAACTAATCTAATGTATTAAAATTATTTAAACATCATCTCTTTGTGTGTTGAAATATTATAAGTAATANGAGTAAAACATATTTGTACAGCCTAAATATATATTTGAAAAGTAATTCAAACATTAATAAAATCATATAAAAAATTTATTTTTATATCGATAATTTCATTATATATAATATAAATAAATATGTATATATATCAATATAATAAAATAGAACGAAGTTTGAATCTATATAATAAAGTATAACGAAGTTTGAATCTAAAGACAAAGATAGGTCANCTGAACATTCAAAATTATTTTTTTTATTTTCTATTTTTTTGACTCAAATCTCATTTTTTCCCAAAATTTAGAGAATAAAAGTGTTAAACAAGCAGGTTTTGAGTGTTTTTGAAATTTTGAGAACAAAAAACTGTTTTTCAGAAGCTAACCAAACACACCCTTTATTTTCCTCTCTTACAATCCCTCCGGGTGGTGGACTTGGGTTGAGCCTGGCCCTCGAGGTTAGATATATGAACTTAAATCCAGATTGGTAAAGTTTGCAACATGGGAAAATAAAAGAAGGATTAATGCAAGAAATACTATTTTGATTGGGTTGGGTTTCCATTTTGAATAATCGAGGTATTTATGATTTGTCTAAACTACCCCTATAAAAAATCTTGTGACATACACGTAGCTTACTTTCCGTTACAAAATTTGACAGATATGGATGATAGGTACGCATTGACTCAAATTAAAATTGTACAAGGTTTAATTGAGATAAAATTTAGTTTAAGGGTTGATTTGAAACTAATGGTATAGTTTAGGGGGCAGTTTAATAATTTACTCCAATCCAATCAAAATCCCAATGATATTGAGGAGGATAGGCTTATCCATACTCATCTACATGGCACCTCCATATCCCCTCCCCAAGGAATCAAGTCAGCCACGTGGCATGCTGGGATCCATGCAAAAAGAACAAAAACCTAAAGACAACCACACTGAATCAATTGCCGACTGAGAATCAAAGTCGTTTAGTTAGTTAGTTTGAAGCAAAAGACCATGGCATCTCTAGCAACTCTTGCTACTGTTCAACCCGCCACCATCAAGGTCCTTTCTGGAAGCTCCCTCACTGGAACTAAGCTCCATGTCAAGCCGTCTCGCTAGAGCTTGAGACCCACTAATTACAGGTAATTATTATCTATCTATGCCCTCTGACTCTGTGTGTATTCTTGTGTTTTGGGTAAGTAGTGTGTGTGTTGTTGGGCCTTTGTGAAGTCTAGTTTGTGTGTTGATTCGGATGATGACCCGACCCGGAATAATATTGCGTGATTTTTAATGAAATTTTTTTTGAGGCTTAACCCATGGAGTACAGTACGCAGGACATATAAAAAGCCTGTTTTGTAGTCCAGTACGCAGGACATATAAAAAACCGTTATTTTGGTGTTTAGGGTTTGTATTTGCAATTGAAAGTCGCCCTCTGTATTCCGCTCTCTCAATAGTAAAATTTATGCAGCTTCGTGGGCGTAGGCAAATTGCCGAACCACGTAAAATCTTTGTGTCTTGTTCTTTCTTGTTTCTTATTGTTTTATGTTCTTGGTTTATTTTTCGATTGTGTGTGTTTGTCTGTGGGTTTAAGGCGTATTAAATCTCAACAACTGGTATCAGAGCTCTGGGTTAATGGGTCAAAAGATTACACTATGGCTGAAGACAAAGTCAAGATCAAAAAATTCAATAGCACGAACTATGCGTTCTAGAAGATGCAGATGGAGGATATTTTGTATCAGAAAGATTTGTATCAACCTATCGATGAAACGAAGCTAGTGGATATAGAGCAAGCAAAATGGAATGTTCTGGATCGCAAAGCCCCAGGGACTGTGCAAGTGTGCCTCGCGCCGTCAGTTGCGTAGAACATCGCCAAAGAAAAGACTACATCTGATTTGTTCAAAACCCTAGAAAAGATGTACAAAAAACCTTCAGCGGTGAATAAAGTATATCTTATGAAAAAGTTATTTAACTTAAAGATGTCTGAAAATACTATTGTTACTGAACATATCAACGAATTTAATACGGTCACGAATCAATTAGAATCCGTGAGTATTGTTTTGGATGATGAAATTAGAGCTCTTATCCTTTTATCAAGTCTGTCGAAAAGTTGGAATGGACTTTTTGTGGCAGTAAGCAATTCTTCTGGGTCTGTAATGATAAAATTGGAGGATATTGTGGCGTTGTTACTAGG